TATTTATGATATGTAGGCCCAGCTTCTATTTGGCTGACTTTTACTTTTCTCCTAACTTAAACTGCATTTGTTTCCTTTGGCGGTGAGGTACAAGGCAACATTATTGCAAGCCTCTCTTTATCTAAATGTTGAGAATATCACCATTTGATCCAACAGGATTTGTTGTGCAAACAATTGACAACTGTTCTGGTTGCCTCACTTGGGATTTTTTCTTAGTGAGGCCATGTTACTGATGCTGAAAACCAACCAACCTAATGTTTAAGTGCCATTTGCACTTCACTCTTCCTTCAGTAAATCATCAAAATAATTTTGGATTTAATGTCACTGTAAACATAGACTAAGCAAAAATTATGATGATTTTTTTTTGTTTTGTTTTGTTTTTTTAATCCTGGGCTTTAATTTTCTCTCATGTAGGAATAAGGTAATTAGCATATTGCTTCTAAAGGTCTTAATTACAAGATATTGCGACAAGATAAGAATTCTTAAAATACTGCTTCCTTACTTTATTTTAAAGTATTTCCTGTAGAAGAAGAAAAAGAAAACAAAAACATGTCAAAGAATTTAATGATTAATAAATGAAATGCTTTATTCTTTACTTGATAAATTAACTAGAGACCCCAAAGAATTCCCAGATATTTCACCATTTCATTTTTTAAGTAAATTTAAAGCTTCTGAAACAGAACATTTCCAGAAAAAAAAAAAAACAAAACAACCCCCCCAAAAAAACCAAAAAACAAACAAACAACTAAACATCCTGGGCACCTCCAGTTCTCTGTATTGCCCTCAGCCCCAAGCCCATGAATGAACACTCAAAGCTACTCTCAATGGTTTGTTCCTCAAGTCATTCCCATGGGAAGGACAGGAGGTAATGGAGATTTTCGTGACGGGAACACCTGTCAAGCTGCAGATAAACTGAGATGATCAACCCATTTCACAAAAGTCTATGAATAGCCATCTCATGGTAATGACTGATTCCTGCTGCCATGTGCCAGATCAAAACAACTACTTAGAGGTAAAAGGCTTGAAATAACAGACCTTTGGAGCCACACAATCACTTTCATTTTAAGTAATGTTTTAATATATCTGTTTTTTACACTTCTTTTATATATTCATTTGTATATATACATGTGCATTTGTGTATACAGCTAAACATATTCGTGTACATACCCACACATTTCATAATGTTGTAGCCTAAGAGGTTTTCACAAATTTTACCTCAATTTAAAAATAATGCAAAGTCTGAACTCCTTTCTAGACAATTCATAAAAAAAAAAAAAAGATATCATTATAATAAAGAACTTGGAATTTGAAAAGAGGAAAGGAGTCAGCACTTCTTAATTTCTTAACTGCTGCTTTTCTTTAGCATCCCACTTGGTTTAACTCCAGTTACCTAGATTTCAGGATGTTCTAATTTTTATGTCTCCAATGGTCTTCCAAAATTTTATTCCTAATACAGTCTTCAGTTCCTGTGCAGGCCTACTTGAATCTGATTGAGCAGTATTATTCCACCTAATAGCTCCAAAAATAAATACAAAGAAAAGTCAATGAAAGCCTGTGGTTTCAAACATTCAAGTAACTCTTAAAATGAATAAGCAGGTCCTTAATGACATAAGAGCCTTAAAGCTGTATCCTCTATCTTTTTATTGTTGGAATCAATGGTAAGTTTGACACCTATTTTTCACTGGACAAAACAGAAACCAGAACAGGGCACTTAAAAGAGCCAAACAAACCCAAGCCCCCAAATAACCAAACAAGGTTAGAAGAAGCAGCAGAACTCCATAGTTTTCAAGTTTTAACAGTATTTTTTAAAAAGAAAGTCACTTTCAAAATGTGTGTCCCTAGCCATTAACAGATGAGTTTGTTCTCTTGCAGACTGCTTTGTGCATGTGGTCTCTTAAGCTCATAGAAAAACATGCTGACATTAGTGGGCCTTCAGATGGGCAGAAGCAGCCACTCACCTGGTCTGCTGCCTTCCAGAAGAAACATCCATGATAAGCACTTACTGCTGATTCAGAAAGTAATTTCATAGTTATGGACTGTATTCAAGTTACTGATCTTCCACATACAAGGAACAGTCATGAGTAACAGCAGGGGAAGGGGAGAGGGGGAATTTTCTGACCATTTTAAATAAATAACCGAGGTGAAAATGAAGGCATTCCATTTGAGTGGACTGTCCCTTATGCCAAGATCTTCCATGCTTTTTAACAAGGAGAAAGACTGACCCCTCCATAGCCAAATTAAAACTAAAGGACTATGAGCAAAGAAAAGTTCAACTATTGAAAGTATTGCATCATAAAGATTCTCTCCAAACATCTGCCAACCTAGTCCAAATAGAAACTAACACATTTATCCACAAAGAAAGGTAAGACAGCAAACTCCAAGGAAAGACAGTTAAATACAACTATAAATCTGGCTCGAACAGCATCTTTATGTCTAACACAGCCCACATTTTGCCATGGTAGGTTCCTTGCTAATTCAAAACAACCTCTCTGACCTAAAGTCTGGGAAGCCGTGAACATATAATTCAGGAAAATAATTATTAATTTTGTCTCAAAAGATGAAGAACTGAAAAATACACACAAAGTTTTCCTAAAAGCAATTAGCAACTATAAATACCTACTCATAATAGCAGCAAAAAGATCTTAAAAGACCCAAACAAAAGAAAACTATATTGCTGTTTAGTTGTAGCCATTGATAACATACATTATTTCTTATCAGAGGTTGAGACTCAATTCTTCTTAGAAGGTGGTTGTGATACCTGACAGAAGCTCCAGATCAGCCTCAGATCCCTTTGTGCTAGGCACTACAGAAACACAGGAATTGCTTCTGACACAAGTTGGAAACCCAGCCCCATCAGTGGCTCTTTAGGAGGAACCTTCCCTACCCAATCCCCCCAAACTAGCAGTTGGCTTTCCAACACAGGCTCAGTGGTGGGAGCTGAAGGCCTATGGAAATTAAGGGTCTACTAGTAATCTTACCTCTAGGATTTAAAGTTAAGAGAAGAGCTTGAATTATTCTGCCCAGCTTTAGAATTCCATTAGGGTACTTTACTGAGCAATCATATTAAATCAAATCATGCCTATTTTTAACACCAAAACACAAAGAGATTAAAGTGTTAAATCCCCATAATAAATAATACATCTCATCAGCTGTAGGCCATGAAAGTTGCAGGCAGATTTGCAGCTCTATGTATACTGGGAGCATAATCCTGAAGCCACTATAGATTTCCACGTAGAGATGAAAATAGATCAGTGGCATCTCAGGTTGAGGAAGGAAGCATTGTCATGAAAGAAAACCAATAGAAAACTGTGTTCTTCACTCCTGGTCAGTCCTTTGCTGTGCAACTCTTGCCTGTAGTAAACTAACTAAAAGTCAGATGTTTAAAGAATGGGGTTTTATACATGCATTTGACAATTGCTATGATGATTACCACTGCTGACTTTTTTTACATTTAAAGCCAAAGTAACCTTGTGCTTATAAGCTAACAGAAAACTAATGGCAAACTATTAGAAAGAACTACAATCGTAACTGCTACCTTCAATTCTCCCTCACAATATCGTTAAGTATTGGCCCAACTATACTTTTCTCTCATTCTTCCCATCCCATCAAATTACGGCCTTCTCAAGCTCGTTCCAGTTTGGTCACAAAATTGCTGCTTCACACAGGACATGTACAAATTAGAAATGGAAGATACCAAAGCATTTCAGGAGAGCTCACTCTTGTGAGTATCCTTCCAGCACGAGGCAGAGATAACACACGCTCTCTGCTGACCACCATTTAACCATGATGCCCCACTGAAATACATACTCATGGCCTATTCACGGTTCAGCATGCTCCACAGTACTTAATAAACCGAGCACTCAAACTGTCTTTTTAAAATTACAGAGGACATAATTAAGCTCCAGAAATAAGCAGACAACAGCAATTTTAATATAAACATCCTACTTATGTAGAGAACTCTTATTTCAACTTGGCATTAATGACGAAACTCTTACTTCTGGATTCTAGCAAATCTCTAGAAGGCTTCCTTGAGTCAGGATTTCCTTGAGCCAGATTAAAATGTAAGGGGGCAAACTAATACCTATTTCAGACATTTTGACACATAACATCCCTTTTAATCAGCAGAAAAAAATGGTCAGATCAGCCCACTGGTGATACCCGACCTAACAAACCAGCAACAACCTGAACACGGATGGAGACATTTGGCCTTCCCAGCAGCAGGCCATGGAAAAACAGATCACAACATATATATTTGAACAGGCCATTGACCAAATATAGCCAGCCCCCAACAATAACCACGTCCTGCTATCACATGCACAACACTAATTCTCATCTTGCAAACACTGACGTTCGTCGGGAGTCCAGTTCCTGGACAACCCCTGGAAGTTAAGATCATCAGTAGGTCTTTGTACAACTGGGGCCCTACCGACCGCAGGGGTTTAGCAAGTCAAATAACGGCCTGAAACCACCGCAGAGAGCCCATCCAGAGAGCCCACCGGCTCAAACCCCGAGGGTTCCCCAATACCCTGCCGTTATTTCAGCCACCGAATTCCCTACTGCGGCGAGGAAAACAACACTTTCGGGACAAGCCGGGGCTCAGCACCCACCAGAGAGCCATCCCGAACTTCGCTCACAACACCGCGCCTTCTACAGCGAGCCGTCCCCACCGACATCACCCCCGCCCCGGCCCGGTGTGGATCGCGGAAGGGGGGTTGGGGAAGCAACCCCCAGAGCGACGAGGAAGGGAGCGCGGCCGGGGACGGAGCATCACCCGCGCCCCAGCGACAACAAAGCTCCGGCCGGCCCGTGCGGGGGGAGCCCCCGGAGCTCAGACGGGCCACAAAGTGACAGGCGGGCGCCCGGCGCCCCCTCCCCGCTGCCCGCGGCCCAGCGCGGCCGCGCGCCCGGCCCCCCCCCCCCCTCAGCTCCCTCCCTGAGGTAAACAAGCGGGCGGCCCAGCCGCCGCCGCTCCCCCCTCTCCGCCGCCGCCCCGCACTCACCTCAGCGGCCCCCCGGCGCCCGGCCGGCCCCGGAGCGGCGCAGGCGGAGACGCACACAAAGGGTAATAAAGGGGGAGGAGGGGAGCGCGGGGGGTGGGGGCTGCCCAACTGCCTGCCGCTCCCCCGCCGAGGTGCCTCCCGTCGGGGCCGCCTCTCGGCTTCCCTCTCCCTCCGCCGACAGCCGCCGGGAAGGGGGGGTGGAGATAGGAGAGAGAAGAAACTCCCCGGTCTCCTCCGGCAGGGCTGGGGGTGGGGGGGAAGAAACTCAGGGCGCTTGGCACTAGCCCCCCGCCCCCGCGCCGATGCCGAGCGGAATTAGCGCCCTGTCCCTTTAACGGTATAAATAACGGGCCCCCCCGCCCCCCCCCGCGCTCCTCATCATCAGCTGCTGCTGCTGCTCCGGCTGCTGGGGCTCCGGCGCTGCCGGGGAGGAAGAGGGGAGGCAGCCACTGCGCATGCGCCCCGGGGGAGCTCGGGAGGCTGCGGGGGGGAGGAGGAGGGAGGGACGTGCCTTCCCAGAGGGCCGCGCGCGCCGCGCGTACCCGGAAGGAGACCCGTCTGCGGGGCGGAAGGAAGTGGCTGGGTATGGACGGGGCGGAAGTGGGCTGGGTGGAGGCCAGCCTGCGGTCACGTGAGGGGGGCGGGCAAGTGACGCGGGGCCTGCCGGGGGCGCGGTGGAGAGGCGGGAGAGTGTGTGGCGCGAGGGTGGTGAGTAACGCGGCCGCTGCCTCGGGTGAGGCACTGCACGGCACGGCACGGCACGGCACGGCACGGCACGGCACGCTGCTCCCCGCCTCACCGGGCGGCTCTGGGGCGGAGAGTGCAGGACTAGAGGGGGAGGCGCCCTTCTCTTTCCGTCCTCGAGCTCTGGCAGTGCCGCCGGTCCTGGGGGGGTTTGGCTTGCGCGGGGGGCAGCTGCTGCTGCTGCTGCTGTCCCACTGCCGTAGGCCAACGTTGCTGGGCCGCCCCACCAGGAACTCTGCGGAGGCCGCGGAGGCGGGAGCGCAAGTCTCTTGGGTGTGGGTGCTAGGCGGGAGCGGCGCCTCCCGCTGGGAATCCACGAGGAGCTCGGCCCGGGCAGGGGAGGTTTCGGTGGGATGCGGCGGCTCGGTATCTGGGTAAAAGACGGAAAGGAGCATGCTCCTCGACCGGTAGCCTTGTTTCTGTTGCAGTCCGATTCATCTGACTGTTTCAGTTCAGTCTCTGCTTTGTGATTTCGTGCCCTGCACTCCTTCGTGTCTGATTCCGCAGTGAGGACTTCATTTGTGTGGGTTTTTTAGCAGCTGGTCTTGTCCTTCTGAGGCATAGCTTCCGCGCTGGGGGCGGAACGGTGCTGGCTTTACAACAGAAGGAGCACAACTGAGAGAAGCGGCTGTGCTAAAATAAGCATAAATTGTTGTGGAGAAAGTCTTGGAAGCTTTCTCTTAGCACGGAGAAGGACGACTGGCTTCTGCTTATCTTTTTTAGGGAGATACTGCTTATTATAAGCTGCACCAGTTTAAGCATGGGTAGTCGATTGGTAATGTCAAAACTTAAATGTTGTGACCTAACACGTTACCATGTGCCTGTGGCTTGTTCCAGCTACAGAAGCATACAGTTTTGAACTACCTGAAACACATTTAAAACATATGAATTACGTTTGGTGGTTGGTCGGATGATGTACAAATGTACTAGGAGAGTAATCGATGTGGCGGTTCACAGTGATGTGCCTAAAGCGTAAATGCTGCAAATGCCACTCCCGCTTCTGTGATAGATCAGTTTGCGTGTGCCACCGTAGTGAACCTTGGCATGCCTGCTGAGAATAATCATCGCCATTAGGAACTTGATGGCAGACCTTGACTTCTGGCCTATCAGTTACCTTAGGCACTGTTTGTGTTGCACTGAAAAGCATCCTAAAGCAGATGCTTTCAGAAGTTGCATGAAAACATGGATTTAGTATAAGCAGAAGTGAATTAAAAAAACTTTAAATGTTTTGGGTCTTTTTCACTGGTAAGGTGAATTTACCACATCTTTATCAGTTAAGAAAACATGTTTATTGCAACATTAAGTTCTTTGAAACTAGGAACTATCTAGGTTTTGTTGGTTATACTAAATTTGGTTTACTAACATTGAAATACAACTTCTGATTAACATAATTTAGAAAGACGTATTCTTTAGTATAACCTTTATGTTCTTTTTCTTATTTAAAGGTCAGGCCTTCTGCAATGAGTAAGCGTAAGGCAAAGGAGAGTGGTGGAGCAAATGGAGAATGCATTTCACAGGTTAGTGACATCTTATTGGTTGACTTTAAGTTCTGAAACTTTTCCATCCTCTGCCATCCATGTCATTCTGTAACTTTTTACTAGAGCAGTTAAAGAGACATATACAGATGCACAATATAATTTCTAGGGCTCTAAATGTTTTTTTTGTATTTACGTTCTGTATTTCAGCTTCTCACCTGATGTTTGCTTCAAGTGCTACATAAATGATTTAACAGTAAAGGATGGTCTTGAGCTTTTGCTGTGATTTGTAGCAGCAGATTTGCATAAATCTATTTTTACCTAATCAGATTCTGTATCTCCCAGTTTGCAGGGTGAATCAGGATCTAGGTGGCTTGTTTTTAACAGCTTATGTGAGGCAGGACAGCAGCTGCCAAATTAGTTTTCAGTTCATTTGTTGTTTTTTTTTTTAACCTTTATTCTTCTGTTTCCTCAAAGTGACTGCTTAAAAACCGTGATGAATTTTGTAGTGAATTACTTCTTTTTTAGTGATTTCTTATATTTTAATCTTTTCTTCATTTACTTATAAAATCCCTTTACAGGTGCAAAACTTTTTCACTTGTGAACGGGCAATGCTGACTGCTTGTATTATTCACTAAACAGAATAAATTTGGAAATTAAATCAGTAAAGCTTTAGTAGAAGAAGAGGTAACTGAAAAATCAGACAAGTACAGCTCATACTAAAAATTCATTTCATAAAGTGGAATTATTAGTGAAACAGATTTCCATCTTCTGTCCATTATTTAGACTTGCTGAGGAGTACTTCACGGAGGTGCATCGACGTGTATTTATTTTTAAGCCAAAACTGCTGAAAGCTGATGGTAATAGTTCCATTGTAAATTACAAATTAGCCAAGTGTTAGGAGGTAGCTGAACTGAATCTTCAAAGTAACTGTAAATTTGATACCAATATTTTACTCTGATAGGCTGCGGTGGTGTTGTGAGCGATGCAAAAAAACGTATTCACTGAGGATTTTGGGGAATAATGAAGTGGGTTATGTGTTCTTTCAGTCAGCTGGTAAATGTTTGTTTGCCTGTATTACACAGGAAGTTAGAACTACAAATTAGACAAACTACTGGCATCATTCTGGTGGCAAGTATAACATCCCTTTGGGTGGTGAAGGAAAGGAACTGTAGCAGAAGAGACAAAGGCACACATTGCTATCATTTAGCTGAATTTTCTGTGCTATAGGAGTCTGTAAAATATTGCTGCCTGCTGCAGTGTTATTCTTGCTTTCAAGACCCCTGTGTCAGTGATGACAATTAAAATTTCCATGCTCTTCCTATGGGTTTATTGCTGTAATTACATTATTGGTACATCCCAAGCACTCTTTCTTGTGTTGTATCTGTAGGCGCAGAAAATCTTACGTGAAAGATTCTGTCACCATTGTGCTGCTGGAAAACTGTTTGGGATTGAACATCAGTACAGGTGAGTGAGCAGACTAAGTAATTTTGACTTTAACAACAGTAGAAAAATAATGAGATGAAGTTAGAATTTTCTGCTGCCTCTGTTTTTCTAAATTATATAGGCTTAAATGGCTTACAGCACAGTGCTTCTAAAAATTGCCTCGGATTGTAAGTTAATACAACTATTGCTCTGATTTTTGTATTTCTTGTCCTTGTTTCAAATCTGTAATTCCTGAAATGTTATTTTTGAGCCTGGAAAATACTTCTAGTGCATATTCTAAGGCTATATTTAATGACCTGAGCAAGCAAAAATTTTAATTCTCATTGTGAATCTTTATTTTTACTTTAGATTTCTGCCTGTTTATTGGTAAGCTGTGTTAAAAGTTAATCTTAAACATTAGAGGCCAACATCGTGTTTCTTGAAGTAGGGATCCATGTTCAAAACTTCTTGGGGTCATCCAGATGTGGAGGTTAAAGTTAGGAAGAAGGGACCTATTGTGACATTAATGCTATCTTAATACTAAACCTTTTACAGGTGCAGGTCAAATTTTGAAAAAATGTATTTCTAAAGAACTTGCATCAGTTTTTCCAAGAGTAACTTTATGCAAGTTGAATCACCTGATGGGAGCATTAGCTTCCTTTCTGTTAGAAAAAGGAAAATAACATTTCTGCTGTTAGTGTATTAAGTGTGGTGTCATATGTAGGCAGAGCTCACGTAGGCATGTTGTGAGAAAATGTATTTCTGTGATGTTAGTATTCTACACAGTGAGCCTCCCCTCTTCATATTGGAATTCGGAACAACAGTTTAGAGACTGTCCTCTGCTTAATACACCACCGTTGGTGAATTCAACTGGAGAAAAACCATAATGAACTTCCCAACTCTTATTTTCTTTCTCAAGATGTATCTGGGCTCTTTGCTATAGGTAGCTCCCAAACAGTGAGCAAACCCACACACGTTTTCTACAACTGTTACATGATGGCTTTATCACTCCTTTAGAAGCAATTGCATAATGTCAATATTGTAAGTAAAAAAAACAACCAACCAAACAAAAAAACACCAAAAAAAACCCCCACAGAAAGCCCCAGCATTTGTAAGCATTTGGCAATTGGGAGTGTCAGTAGTTTTTATAAGTACTTTAAATGTGGTACTGTGCAATAAGTCTATCTGAAGATAACTTAGAGTTGTTTTTTGTTCTTTTAGATGGGAATAGAATATGAATTTGAAGCTCAGTATTGCTGTTACCATTCACAAGCTTTGAATACCTAAATTTAGCATATAATCAGTTTTGTGAAGATTGTCAAAATGAATATATTCCACTAGAATATTAATTTTTGCTGGTGTCAAGGCTTTCCTTCAATCTGTCTGCCAGTCTTTGGTTTTTTTTTTTGTGAACTGTAGTGGTATCACAGAAAGCAATCTTCCATTTTTAGTTTTTTTTTTTTAAGGAAGAAATAGTTATTGAAATCTGCCCTTTCATGGGGAAGAATGACAGAACTTTAGTGATGCTCCCGACTTCTGCATGTTTTAATATTTTAAACTGTTTTAAGAGATGTGGTCGCTCAGCCTTTTGTACTTTATTGTCTTCCGTTTTGCATGCCCTGAGAGCAAGTTGAAAAGCATCAAGTTTTCTCATGTTCTAAGGAGTCTTTGAATTTTCCATAGTTTCAGTAAATGTTGTTTGCTTTGAAGTTTTTAACCTATTGCTGTTGTCAACACAGACATCTGCTGGATCTGCTGAAACGGACTACAGTTCATGGAGAAAGTAATTCTGCCCTCATTATTGGACCCCGAGGATCAGGAAAGACTGCGGTATAAACATGTATTAAAAGTTTACATGAGGTCAAATTAAGCACAAGTTAGGTGGCCCCAATGAAGTCTTGGGAGGTTTTGGAGCTAGATTTTCATCTCTACCTGTTTGTAAAGAGAGAATTGCTAATTTTTTACATGCAATTTCAGATTAATCTAGGACTTCTTGTGAGCTAATTCTGTTGAATAACAAATGGAGAAATTGTTTTCTGAACAATCTTCTGAAATTTTTCAAATGTTGAGTTTCTGTTGATTCTGTAAAATAGAACAGCTTCATGTGCTGCTGACAAAAACACGTACTGGTCCATCCTCGCAGTGACTTGCAGAAGTATGCCTGGGTTTGGAATTCTTTTTGTGTCTTCACCAGGTTTTGTGACACACCACAGGTACCCAAAACATGTAAAATGGAAGGTACCCAAAACATGTAAAATGGAAATAATTTTATCGGAACAAGTTGCATTTATCTTTCTGTGATCTGACAACATCATGGATTCTGCCTCCTTTCAGCATTTCTCCTATTGCAATCTCTGTAGTTCTTGGCACGAAGGAGTTCCCTTCATCTTTGCAATTAAAGCCATGTTTTGCATACTCTTTACAAGTTAAACTGCTATTGCTGTTGGGCTTCTGCTGTAAAAATGACTGAAAAGGCATCCAAAAACTGTGAAAGGAGTAGATTGAGGGATGGGTACAACTATAGCTGTTTGTATCTAGAGAATGGTGAAGTATCTTAATCCTGGTTTAAACACGTTGAAGAACATTGTTACCTTAATTGCTTGGAGGTAGAATAATGTATGGCAGTTCTAGTTTACAAGTGTAGGTTTTGTATTTTAAAGAAACTCTTTTTAGTTGAGGTGTGTGAAGGGTTGACATCTAAGGGTTATATACTTTAATATTGTGCAAACAGTAAAGTCTTTTATGAGCATATAATTTGATGAATAGGTTGGCTGTTACTGCAAAAAGTATTGAAGATTGAAAAATTACAAAAATTACTTCAGAGATCTCCCCAGGTGCGAAAGCAAGTGGCCTTCAATCTTTTAAATATAGTTGAGTAGTAGTGAATTAATAGGTGGTAAACATATCCATGACAGAGCTGACCCCAGTCATTCTGCCAATTTATTGGTAGCTTTTTTATTTTACATTTTGGAAGGATTCAGTACTGTTACCTTCTGTTACACATGGCACTTCAGAAGGATAATTGCCAAAATACTATGGTGTGGTGGTGTGGAAAGAGTTGATAAACTGATGGCAAATAAGGATTCCTCCACCTATGTACTTCCTGCTCTTGAACTGGGGTTTAGTTTTTCTTTATTAGACTTACAGATTTGTAAGTAAGCAACACATGCTCTTACAGTGCAGAAAATAGTTTTTAGATTGTTATTATTTACAGTGTAGACATTCAAGGTACTATTGAGATTGTTGCCCAAGGGGCTAACCTGAATGAATGGCATCCTCTTATTGGGCATAAACTTGAGAAATCAAGTGCATATGCTTTTTTTGTTTAACATTTCCGTATAGTAAATATTGGCATCTGTAGTAGGAGTCTAACTATATCTGCTTTTAAATACAGTATCAGTAGAAAAGTAGGGATGAGCTCTATACGGCAAGCAAATTGCAGTACATGATAAAGATTTTTAAAAACCCACAACAGAATGATCCATCTAACACCACATGCCCCCCGATCACTAGAACTATTACTTAAAATAATACTTTAATGATTTTTATTATTTAAACTATTTTTGTTACTTAAAGTGTTTTTTTCCCCCCAAACCTTTTACATAAGACTGGTGAAGATCAAAATTTGTGATCCTTCCTGCCTGAATATAAATAAACAAATCACACATGCAAAATGAATTATTTTCTTATTTTATATCAAGTGAAAATCTTAGTTTTCAAAAAAGACTGCTAGAGACAAGCAAATTGTATGTGTGTATATAACTAAATATGTATGTATGTATACATACATGTACATGGGAGCTGTAAATTCTTAGCTGAGGAAGCAAAAGCAAAGCGTAGCAAGTGCATAAGAAGTTAACATTTCATCTCTCTATATGTATTTTAATACAAGTTTCTGAAAAGTTTTGCCAAGAACAAGTTCTTGATAGACTGTATATTTGGGACCCCTAAGTTTTATAAGCAATAGTTGATGTAATTATGTGCTGTTTCATGCTTCCTTACTTAAAGAGGAAAGGCAAAAGCATAGTGTCTTTAAAGATTTAAACAAAGATTTTTGTTCTGCAGCATCTAATGGAGCAGTGAAACTGAATACTATACTAACTCGAGACAAATTCTCTCACATCTCAAACTCATAAAGATTCTTTGGATTAAGGCAAAAGCCCTAGATACTAGTCCCCAAAATGAGTGACTAAAATACTGTAGTAATTTTTACATTTCTTTCTTTACTAATTCAGCAGAATGAATAAATGTAATTGCTACAGTCATGACAGTGAATGTGAAATTTTCATTTTAGTATTTTAGTCTTGAAAGTACTCAAAAACATTACTTAATGAAACTGCGTGTACTGTTTCTTATCTGCTAATAATCAATTTGTACGCTTGTTACAACATAAATCTCCTTCTAAAGAAATAATGTTTTTTTTTTTTGTTTTGTTTCTTTTTTATTTCCCTAGTTATTAAATCGTGTCTTAAAAGAGCTTAAGGAAATGAAACAAGTTAGAGGGAACCTCTTGGAAGTTCGTCTGAATGGTCAGTAATACAACATTATTCAGATGTCACGTTGCATTCGGTTGCTTCTATTGTATGTACTAAACAAAAATTTTGGTTTCAGCAATTCTAATCTCTCTTCAGTTATGGACACATTTGTCTGTGAGCTCCAAAATGCCTTATTTTGTATCTCTATATAAAGAGAACTTCTGTGCTTTTAATGACTTATCAAAATGCTAAAAATCAGTTCAGTTGTGACCCAGTTCTTTTAAGTGACTTCTTCTTACATGTAGAAAATTACTGTTTAGTCTTAATTTATAAAAAGACATAGCTTTGTAAGGCTGGAAATTGAGAGAAACATCTGGATAAGGTTCCAGTGTCAGTAGATGTGGTCTCTTGGAGTGAAGAACTGCCAGTTCTTCATGAAAAAATGTATTCTTTCAGGGCTTCTGCAGACTAATGATAAAGTGGCCCTGAAGGAAATCACCAGACAGTTGAACCTGGAAAATGTAGTTGGGGATAAAGTTTTTGTAAGTATCAACTTTATTATACTCTTTGCTTATATCTCAAAAATCTTTGCCTAGAAAACTGGCTTTATAGTCTGCAGCTGTTGAGACTGAATGGGCCTTGACTCATTTACGTCAGTACTGAAGTCAGTCGTAAAGAGAATAGCGGAAGTGCTTCAGATTGTATTTAATGAGTATTTTTGAGAGGCCATATTCTGATGTGACAGAAGGTCCTTTTGAGCTCCTTGATAGGGCCTGTGAGATTGACGGAGTTTATGTATTTGAGAGTCGTGTATAATACCAATCCAGGTGGCTAAAGCAGAATTAGGAGGGGAGTGAAAGGTGAAATTGCAATAGATTAGGTTTATTTTCATCACTTGTGTTTGGAAAGCTACAGAGAGATGTTACTGCTTCAGTTAATAAAAACCAGAGAACTAGGTTGGAAGCAGTGCAGAATACAAGATTGTAGTTACTAGGCTTTATTATCTTTTGGAAATACTTGTTTCTTGGGCTGTGCTTTGGTTTCTTACTTATCCCAAATGATTTTAGATACAGAGAATGGAGAACCCTTTCTAATCATAAGCTAAAATTTTCCCAAATACAGCAGCAGTAGTAAAAGGAGACAGCAAGTATTTAATTTCAGCATAGTCATTTGAATGGGTTGTCCTTTCAACAGAGAACTAGAACAACCTTTCAAAGTCCACAGTTCCACCTCCAAAAATGCTGGATGCAAAACTGGACTTAAATATGCTTAATTCTCCTGTAATTTTCTCCATTGCATTACTGTGGAGTACTCCTTTAAACTCTTAACTTTTGGTTGCACATGGGCAGAGAAACATACTGATTTGTAGGAATGTCTGTCCCCTCGTCAACTTCCTATCTTAGCTTATGCAATTTACAATTGGACAGTTAATTGGCTTTTCTACCTTCTTTGATTGGGCTTGTGGTCTTCAGATGTAGTTACTTCCCATCTCGCACCCTGTGTACTTCAGAGGGTGTAAATGTGTGTAACTGAAGCAGGGTGGTCATAGCAATCCATTGTTGTCTGTCATGAATGTTTGATGCTTTGACCTGTCTAACAAGGTTGCAGATTAAAAAGCTGCATACTGATGTTTCTCAGTGGAACACTCAGTTTTTGTGTGTGTGTAGAGAGAAAATGCATGTGCATTAGCTATTTAAGGAAATATAATGGTACTTACAAATTTAGCTTATTGTAGACATTCTTCTGATTGCTAATTTTGGCCTGTCTGAGGCAATTAGTTTGGGGTTTTCAGGCTGGAAAGAAGTGGATCAGTGTAGGGTTAACTCCCCGTTTTCTTGTCCTGTAGAGGTGGTGATTATACAACATGAAGTAACATTATAAGTTTTTGAGAGCAGGGTTTTAGAAGGAGATGGCCTTTGTTATATGCCTGAACTGGGCATTGCTAGACAGTTCTGAGAATGACATTGAAAATCTCTTGTGAAACATTTTTCTTCTCTGTATAGGGCAGTTTTGCTGAAAATCTTGCGTTCCTTCTTGAAGCTTTAAGGAAAGGTAGGTACTAGTAGCCCCTGTTCTGAAATAGTGTGTATGCATGTTTGTCATTTAAATGAAAAGTTAGCATATATGTGTGTGTTCATCTACGTGTATAAGTGTTATGAAGAAACCTAGCCCAAGAACGTGTTATGGTTACAAAATAATGTAAAACATACAGAACCCCAAGCAAACACATATTTAACATAACTGAGGCTGTAAAGGCTTGCATGTGATGATCACAGATTCTTTTATCCAGATTGAAGCTATTGAAAATAGTGCTTTAAAAAAAAAAAAAGAACATAGAAGTCTGCCTTCCCTTGCAACCAGAAATAATGCTTGGCAGAATAATACAAAACCTTATCAATTTTTCCATGTATTTTTGTTTCTACTGCTGTAGCAGTACTTAAATGAAAGGAGGGCTTAATGACAAGCTAAAAGAAAATAATGTAAGTTGTTAAACTGGGAGTTTGTGAGAGCTGCAGAGATGGAAGCCCAACGATGAAGTTACCAGACTAACTTTTCAAATTGCTGTCTCAGGAGATCGAGCTAGCAGTTGTCCAGTCTTGTTTATACTGGATGAATTTGACTTGTTTGTTCATCACAAGAATCAGACGCTGCTCTATAACCTCTTTGATATATCACAGTCAGCCCAGACTCCAGTAACAGTTATTGGACTTACATGTAGGCAGGTAAGAAACAGCACTTTATCATTCATTGTTTTCAGCTGTTTTAAAGAGACTGTTGCCTTAGTTGGGATGTTTTCTGCTCTCCTGGAGCCTTGCTTAGTTTACTAAGAGACTGTTATTATGCATTTTTCTGACTTTAGAATTGGCGAGTAAGGGTGATTAAAAAAAAAATACAATAATTAGTGCTGAGAGCAAACTTGGATAACCAAAATACTGCAAAGCCTTCCTTTGCACTGCTAGGTGAGCAGGTTTACACGTCTAAGGAGACACAAGGCTGTGGTCTGGTATTACCACAGGAGAGCTGTATTTTTATCCATGTGGCTTGTTCATATTAGCAGGGACTGTTGTTCCCTCTTTGGAGAGGCTCCTGGGCATTGCAGTTTCTTGGTCAGCAGTTGGTAAGAAGAGAATGATATTAATCTACCGTGTTTAAAAGATTGTTCTGTGGACAAGGAATTTTTTTTAAGCAAACACTTCACTAGGGCACTATTGCTATAAAATGACCATGTTCAAAATGGGTTTAGGATCCATCTTAAACTTGCTATGATATTTACAGTAACATTGCAGGGAGCTGTGGACAGATTTTGCATATACTGTGAAATGACATTTTTGATACTATGAAAGTTGATGTTTTATAAAAAAAATATACTGTTTTTCTCAGTAAACTGGATTAGTGATAAAGATAGCTAGGTTATGACAAGAAGAATGATTAGAATCTTCCATTGCAGCCTAAATCTTGGGTTGGTTGGGCTTCGGTGATGTTTAGCTGGGCACATTGCTGAAAGTTAATAGGGTAGTTAATAATTGATTTAGTAAATTACGATTTTTCTTTTGTGATAGGGCTTTGAGCAACTTGGTCTATTAGGTGCCCTTGCCTGTGGCAGAGGGCTTGGAACTATATGAGCTTTAAGGTCCCTTCCAACCCAAATGCTTCTGTGATTCTGTGATTACTGTCCTGAGCCTGGTATCCTCATCACGCATTGTTTAGATCCCTGTATTGCTCTCCTTTGGAATGTAGTCAGGGTGGTGTCTTCAGAGGCCATACCATGGTTGTGGTGATAGCTGTTGCTTCTTGTCTCTGTTGCTTGTGATTTCTAAATCCAGAGGTGTCTTTGTATTTTGCATTGTTGGTTGTCTATTTACACTTACTGCTCTGTATTGCTGAGGAGCTTCAGTATTCTTAAAGCTTTTTTTTTTTTAGTGGAAATAAAAACACTGAAACCAATGCACATTAAACCCTTAAAAAACAAAAGGGACCACCCAAAATTCCTAGTAACTAGGAGTGCAATCCTTCTGTGCCAATATCAGGTAGGGTAATAGTACTGGATTTCTCAGAATGAACCCCACAGCTTGTTTTTGGTGCCATCTATTACCATATGTTCTGAGAAAAGTAAGCTGTTCTCCCTTACACTGACAACCTGATGGCAGACCTGCTTAGTTCTGTGTGGCAATCCTGGAAGATAAATACTAGCTCTTAAGTGTTTTGGGGTACTTTTAAGCTGGATTCTTTTGGTCTGATAAAAGGCATGTGAACTGACAGCTGCCAACCTCCCTATCTACTAACTAGACAACTGATCTAGAGCCACAGCGGCTAAAACATCTTCAATGCAGACTTAAGTAACTGAAATATTTACATAATCAGTGGAGAAATTTTGCTGGGTATCCTAGCAACTAATTAGCCTGTGTGATGTAGTGCAACACGTGATTCGGGTGAATGGCCAATCATTGGGCATTTTGGGGCACATGGATTATAATAATTAGCAAAGGTCTTGCTGGAACATTTCAAGCCTGAGAATTTAATAACTCCTTTTTTTTTCAACAGGATTTACTTTGGTGTTTTGTAGTTTTCATTCTAGCAAAGAATGCATTAAATGCAGCTACTCTTTTTAATTATTATTTGTACATTTTTTTTTTTTACCAAGGATATTCTGGAGCTCTTGGAGAAGAGAGTAAAGTCAAGGTTCTCTCACCGACAGATATATTTGATGAATTCTTTTGATTTTAAACAATACATTAAGATATTCAAGGAACAGCTTGCTCTTCCTGCTGAATTTCCTGATGAGTCTTTTGCACAGAAATGGAATACTAATGTTCAGGTATTTAAAGCTCTTTATACTTGGTTTTAGTAAAACTTCTAAAGTAAAGCCAGTTAATAAGTGCAAAGCCTTTGCCTCAGATTAGTATTGCCTTTCACTATTTGAGTTTGATACAGAGTAGTAAATTGTGATAGGGAATCTTTGCTTATTCAAGTCCAGAGGTAAAATTAGAAGACCAGAAAGTTAAGGTTAGACACAAAGAACTGCGTTGTCGCATGTAATCTGAGCTCTTCCTGAAAGTCAGCTGACTGTATTTTTTCAGGTGAATAGGAAATATTTGCTGAGACAATTAAAGTAGTGCTTTTTTTTTACCTTTTTTTTTTTTAAATTATTAATTAGCATCTCTCAGAGGATAAAACTGTGCAGGACGTGCTGCAGAACCTTTTTCGCTACAGTAAAGACCTGCGCTCACTTCACTTGCTCTTGGTATGTATTTTGATGTGCGTATAGTATTGTCCTGCTTTTCAGTAACTGGCAAACAGCACTTGTGTCTTTCAAGCCAGTCTTCTGGCATTGAAAATAACTTTTTCCAGGCCTTTCCATGTATAAAACAAAATTGTGGGTGAAATACTTTCAAATTATTTTTTCCTTTCTGAGATTCTTTTTGGTTGCTGGTGAATCCTGAGAACTGCTTGTACTGAAACCTGCTTTTGCTATGTTGAAGTCTGTTGTTGCACCTAAATATTCCTCCTTTCCCTAAATCTGTCCCTGTACTGAACCTGCTGCTCTTCATCAATGTTTTATCTTCAAAGATCAATACATTTTGGTGCTTTTTTTTATTACTGTGGCTTAACTGTGTTTTTGCATCACCTTCTGCTCTCCGCTTTGTCATCCTGCTGGCGCTGTTAGGGTGTGTCGGTGTTCCTTGCCTGTTCCTTGAGCTGCTCTAGCATAATTCTGTGTGGGTATCTGCACTTCCAACATAAAAGCACACAGTGCTTTTATGGAACTGCTTTTAGTTGAATAACTCTCACTTAAAGCCAAAATACTTGTTGTTGTCATCCCTTTTTTTCACTCCTCCTTCTTCCTAAGCCATCACCCCTGCTGCAATACCAGGTTCCTTGCCTTTATGGACTGGTTGCTCCTGGGTACCTCTTCAGTAAGAGTGTTCTCATATGCCTAAAGTCTTGTTCTTCACACATCGGAAATGCTTTTGTTTTCTTTTATCACTTCCAATTTCTTCTTGTGCAGAGTATGAGATAAAATCACTTTGTGAACTGTTTGATTAGGCACCACTTTGTTTTCCAGAGCTGGTTTGATATGTGAAGCAATTTAGGTAGCCTAGATGCTGTCCTGAATTTGTCCGTTACCATGACGCTAGTCTGGGAAATGTGATCTTAATCTTTTAAATCTTGAGATGCTAGAAGCTTGAGGCTACTAATCCCTAGAAAATACTGAGACAGAAGTTAATGCTTGTCTTCCAAGTGATAACATTATCTGGCATCAAGGGCCTGAGGAAGCTTTCAAAACTGCACTTGGTAGCTCCAACCTTTCCCAGTTATGTTAGGGGTAGAAGGAAAGCCACCTCCACTGTGTGGGGAAAAATTAGACTGCTCCTCCCCTATTAGAGAGAATAATTCTGTGTTCAGTAAGTAGGAGGCAATTCTGATGGTCAACTTCGTGCTGTCAGGACAAATGAGCTGAAGCTTAACGCATGGTCAGGCTCTCTCAGATGGTTATTTCTCTCAAAACGTGCCTTCCCTCACTTACGTTTTTTAGTACAATTAATATAAATGCACTAACATTGATTACCAAAGAGTGTTTTTTTTTTTTTTTTAACCATCTTAAAACCTCTGTGTTTTTGTCAGGTATGAAAACCCCACTGAATGTACCTGTGTATCCTATGTGGTGCAAGGATTCAGATTTTAACCTTCTGCTCGGTGGTGGGCTCTTCTTGGAGTCTTCAGTGCTGACAACTTTACCCAGTGCTGGGCTTACAGTCACTCCAAAAACTAGATCATAGACTTTCTGCTTTAGTTTTGAAACAGAGAGCATGATCCAAGTCCTCTTTTTGATAGTCTTCTCTTTACTGGAGTTTGTTACAAGATTGCAGATTATTCTGAAGTTAAGGGCACCCAGGTCTGTCTCTTTGGCTTGAGTGAATGCCAGAAAAAAACCAATGGCTGCCTATCTGAACAGCCTCTTCTTGAGCCCTGTGTGTAAGGAGAGAAAGAGGATGGAGAAGGACTGGTGGTAGATAGCATTGGATGTTCACGGTGAAAGACCTCAGTGAAAATAAGCTTTTCATCACACAGACCTGCAAAAGTAGGAAATAGTCACTAAAAACATCTGTTTTTCATTTTGTCCACAAAGTATTTACAAGGCAGATAGTTAAGGTCCTGAAGAGCAAGTGAAGGTCACTGCAGTGTGCCTGCTGCTGCAGAAAGCCTTGGGGCTAATCCAGAGCTTTGGAGGGTGGTGGTAGAAAAGGTCAGTTACCTATCTATTAACTCACACTTGTTCAAAACTCACTTCCTGTGGCAGGTAACTGAATGTTGTTAAGGATTCATATTGCAAGAAGGTGAGACTTTAGCAAATGCTCTGAAGGGGTCACTCCCATTCTGTAAACTGAGTGGTGCCTTCAAGCACTTCCTTGGCTTCCTGTCACAAAGGTGTGTTTAAACCAGTTGTGAGTCAGCAATCACTAAAGTATGCTAATGCACTGAAATTAATATAAACAAGGTAATGAGTGTTTATGTCCTCCAGTGAGAAGGCTTTAAAGTTCTAAGCCTGGAAAACCTTCCTGGCAAAATGTAGTTGTAGCTACCAGCTATTTACAAGGTTTTCAGTATGAGCTTACTGTGTATGGGGGTTTATTCATTAATGTTTCCAGTAGGTGACTCCAGGGGAAATGTATTCTTTTGCATCTCACCCCCAAGCAGAAAGTATGTCCGGTAATTAGTAATTAAGTGAAGTGAAAAATGTCTGCTGCTTTATTTTTAGATGCTCGCTGTAAGTAATGTTACTGTGCATCACCCACTTGTCACTGCATCAGATCTCCATGAAGCAAGCAAGCAGTATCGAACGGACTCAAGAGCAAATATTGTACACGGTAAAGCTCAGCTTCCCCTCTCTCCCCCCCCCCCCCCCCCCCCCCCCCCCCAAATGTTTCTTGGGAGCATGAAACTCAAGTCCCTCCCTGAACTTCTCCTGATGTAAGAGATACTGTCTAGGGCAGTGTGCCTGTTGGTATGAGCTGCACAGGGAATACTGCTCCCACAGAATGCTCCTGGGCATTCGTATACGTGTGTGGGTGTAACGGTGCTGAATAAACTAGAGATGGAGTTACAGATTAGTAAAGAGCTTGGCCAGTGCACCACTATGATGTGGGTTTACAGCTGGCAGTGCCAGATGGCTAGTTTGCTGCTTCAGTGCTAGCCAGAAAAAGCACTGGTAGCCTGGGCAAAGAACTAGCCTAGACCGTGTGTCAGTCCTGCTGACATGGTGGAGGAAGGGAAGATGCTGACCCCTTCCTGCATCACCAGCAGGTTCAGGAAGGTGATTCTGCTCTGCTCTCACGAGGCTCTACCTGGAGTGCTGCATTCAGCTCTGGGGTCTTCTGAGACCAGGGCTTGTTCAGCCTGCGGGAAAGAAGGCTCCAGGGAGACCTTAGAGCAGCTCCTAGTGCCTAAAGGAGCTGACATGAAAGCTGGAGAGAGGCTTTTTACAACGGCAGTAATGACAGGACACGGGGGAATGGCTTTAAACTGACAGAGGGAAGATTTAGATTAGATATTGGGAAGAAGCTCTTCCCTGTGAGGGTGGTGAGGCCCTGGCACAGGTTGCCCAGAGAAGCTGTGGTTGCCTCATCCCTGGCAGTGTTCAAGGGCAGGTTGGCCGGGGCTTGGAGCAACCTGGGCTAGTGGAAGGTGTCCCTGCCTGTGGCAGCAGGCTTGGAACTAGGTGAGTTTTAAGGTCCCTTCCAACCCAAACCAGTCTGTGATTCTTGCCGTGCTGGTAGCTGGGGGTACAGGAGGTACTTTAGCTGTTGCAGTAAACCCTCTTGTGGCTTGCAACAGTCTGTGCTTGGGTAGATACAGAACTGAAGCTTGAACTTGAATTCTGTACTCTGGGAGCTCAGCTGTATGCGCTTACCTGCCATTAGTTGAGCTGCTGTACAGGTCCTTCTGGCATGTTTCTGTGAGCTGCTGCCACCTTCGCACCACCTGGGGGTTCTCCCTTTCTAGACCATGTCAGAGGGGATGTACCGAGCACTACACTAGAAAACTAAGGTTTTCTCTGAAAAGCATTCTGGAACCTGCACAAACAGTGAGAGGGATACAGATCTCCTGATGATGTGATACTAAGTCTAAATAAAGAGGGAACTGCTTCCCTGATCAGGAAAGGTTAACTCAGCCCATGGCTTCCTCATGGCTCCCAGGTTTTACAGGGTTTGATTTGTCTTGGTCCTGTGCTTCCCAGAGTCTCCTCAGGACAATGGAGCTGATTTGCTGTGTCACTTCTTGAGCTTCAGATAACAAATAACCTTTTCAGAGTCTCACTTCATGACATGCTGTCCAGTACCAGTGAGATCGTCTTGGTGTTCCTGAACATCTGTGTCACTGAACAGTTGCAATATTGGCTTTTCTTTGTATTTATATTTACATTACTTGCTTTTTGACAGAAACAGCCCATTTCTTTGAATACCTGGGGAAAAAAGTGTTTTTTTACCTAGCCTCTCAGAATTTGGATTTTTATTTTTTTTTTACATTAAGAACATGTATTACACAAATAGGTGAGGCCTACAGCATATAAAAATAGTATGAGAACTGCTTGCATTTCTGAGATGAAGTATTTAGAGCTCTTGTCTTTCCCTCTAGGTTTGTCTGTCCTGGAAATCTGCCTAATTATAGCTATGAAACATTTGAATGATGTTTATGAAGGAGAACCCTTTAACTTCCAGATGGTTTACAATGGTGAGAGAAATGCCTGAACCTTACCAACCCTACATCAGTTACTTCCCCTAAGTAGCTCACTTTTTTTTCCTGTTGCTGCTACAGAATTCCAGAAGTTCATACAGAGGAAGGCACACTGTATGTACAACTTTGAAAAGCCTGTTGTCATGAAGGTAAGCCTGAAATGTCTTATTTTTTTGAATTGTAAAGTATTGAGATGTCTTTTATTTCTTAGGGCAGAGAGGCTGAGTAGTCAAATGGAGCTCTTGATGCAAGACAGGGCCCTTTCGGGGGGTAGAGCTTAAACCAAGCACCTCAGGTGGGAACTCAAGGTGGTGCCCAGCTGGGAAATAGCCACTTGGAAGAGTTTAGTACCAGTGTGAAGCCTTTCTTAAGGGATCTTAACTTACTTGGGATAAGGGTTCAGTGAGACTGACTATCAGAGATGGCTTCCTAAGGAGAGCTTTGTGTATGTGCACAGGTGTCTTCAGTGAGCATGTTCACTTCTGCTCTCCAAAACTTCAGTTAACTTTACCCCATCAAAAATGGGCTTTTCTTAATCCAGTAGGTCTGACTGGTGTATGGAATCAGTCTGCAGTCTGATATGGCTGGCTTGCTCAGACAACTACAGTCTGAGGTGCAAGTTGGGAACTGTGTTTTAGTTATAAACCATCAGGTGCTGCCTTTTCTGTTGATGAATTAATGCAGTTGTGTGGCCAAAGCTGCCTTCCCCTCTTCCAACTGAGCACACTTGGTTTCCAATAGTGTCATTCAGCTGGAAATTATGTAATGCTGTGTGCGTGCTTGGCACAGACCTTCCCATTGGTTCCCCTAAATAACAGCATCATTCCCAGTTACCTGTACACTGGATTTCAAATATGGTTTCTCTAAGAAGGAAAGTGAATTCTACATCAGCCAGCATAGCTGACATGCTTTGCTATATGTGCAAAGGATATGAAGCAGACCGGAGCTGTTGTCAAACAGCTGATTGGCTAGCACATCACAGGCTTCCAGCAGGAGTGTCTCTGGTCATCCAAAATGAGCAATGTCATCTTCCCTCTGTTATTTTTTGTTTTTAGGCATTTGAACACTTATTACAGCTGGAATTAGTAAGGCCAATAGAAAGACCAAATATACGTGCTCAGCGCGAGTACCTCCTGATGAAGCTGCTGTTGGACAGTACTCAGATCATGGATGCCCTGCAGGCGTACCCCAACTGCCCTATGGATGTGAAGCAGTGGGCAGCCTCATCACTCAGCTGGCTCTGAACTTTCTGGAACTTGCAGCATCACTTTCTGCATCCAGGCTTTTTGAGTTAAGTATGAGCTGCAGCAGAGGGCACATCTTTCCACAGGAGGTAACTTTTTGGAAGAAGCTTTACTGATTGATGGGGGAGAACTGCTCCAATGTTATGTTCTGATGGCCGTAACAGTGATGAAGGGGAATGCTCTGGCTGTTTACCTCAGCTCGGTGCCAGCTTTTCCTCTGGTGCAGAGTTTCCACTTCATATAAATCTTGAGTTCCTTGGTCTGGGATTGACTGTGTCAGGTGCTGCCTTGGGGCACACCACCCCGAATGCCTGTGGGTCTGGCTTAAACCCCAAGGCACAGTTACCTCTCAAATGCTGTTTGAAGCTCATACTTGGTGTACTTTTTCTTCTCAAATTTGACTTGATGCAGAAAACTTATTAATTATCCTTTAATGACAACAAATGGTGTTCTGGGGTGAAGTACAACCTGCCTTATCCAGGTTACTCAGCTGTTTCTGCAGGGTACAGCCTGCAGGGCCTGTGTCCCCCTGTGGTGGGGCAGCTCTGAAACACCAGCAGATCCCCCCAGAGAGCTCCTGCAGGCTCTGTGGCTCATTGCTGGGGAGAGAAATCTGTCTGGCAGCAGGGGGAGGGAAGGCTTTGTCTGGAAGGTACATGCTACTGCATATGTACTTGAGTGATACCTGTCAGAAGTACACTTCCTCCCAGGTAAGAGCTACCGTTGGTTTGGTACCACAACATGTCATGAAAAGCCTTGCTGCAAGGATAGCACAAACTGTAAATAAAAAAGTTGCCACAAGATGGTGTTCAGAAGTACTTACCCAGGCAGGAAAGTGGGTGTTGAGCCAACATGTACCTCCTCACAGCGTGGTTTGGCTCATGCAATTCAAGGTGCACCTCTGAAATGGGGATGAAGGGGGAATATGGCTGCTTGTCAAGTAGAGAGCAGAGGTGGGAAAAGGTGATGCCAGTGTTAAAGAGTTACTTTTATGGAAACACTTGGCTGTGGGGCTGGAGACAAACCAATAGGTGCCTTACGTACAACTGCAGAGGGGGCAGAGCTGCTGACATTGGTTGGCCCTGCCTCTGCTCACACCCGGGGTCCTGCTGCTGTGTTTGTTTAGGGATGGGACACTGCTGAGGGTTTTCCCCACCCTGTGGCGCGAAACAGACACCTGCAGGTGTGGTATGGGAATATCACATCCCCTGTCAGAGCAACTCACTCAACAGCCTGAGTCCCCTGTACCCACAGGTACATTGATTGGTGAAATTGAACATGCTCAGAAGGGATAATGGGGACTGGCTTTAATTCAGGATAAAGGCTTGGGAGGGAGCCCCACCCTTTTAGGGGCAGGAGGCTACAGGGGCAGTTCTGCAGCAGGTGGCTGCCCTGCTGTCCAGGGAGAAGGGAAGGGCAGTGGCAGGGCCTTGGGACAGGAATGGTGGAAGGGAGCGTGGAATTACAGGAGCATCGCTGGAGCCTTCCCATGGCTGCCTCCTGCAGGAGGGAGCCCACCCTGGTGCTCACCTCAGACTGTGTCCTGCCCTGTGTGCTGCACTGCTGGTTAAAACTCCTGAGCTGGAAAGTGCCCCTCCTGAGAGGGCAGGGTGGGTTCTCCCATCTCCAAGGCCAGGCATGATGTGGATTGTGCCTTCACTTCCCTGCTAACATTTTAACTGCAGGATTTTTCCATTCTCTTTGGGTGTTGCTTTTGGCCACAAAAAGTACTCTCTGTCCTCCCTGTGTCACAATATGAGAAAAGGCATATGCAAGTCATAGTAGTCACATTTTTTATTTTAACTTTTTGGGGGAGTGGGGGAGAAAGAGTATACATTTCTATTTGTACAATATTTAACAATCACTTTATTGAGGGGCAAGGGGGGGTTGGTTTGTTTTTAGTACTTGCAGAAAAACAGCAAGTACCTTTTGACAGTAGTACAACAACCTGTGCCCAAAACACTGACAAATACAAAGAGTAAATTTAAAATAATTGCTTACCAAAATCTTGAGAGGTAACGAATAGTATATGGACTGAAACGGCATTAAAAAAATAAAAACAAACAAAAACCCCAAAAAGAAGTACTGCTGGTTGAGTATCTGAGGTAAATGATGTTCCATCAAGGATGCTACGTCAATCATTTTGCCCAGGAACATATATTGCAGCTTTCTGCACTTTGTACCAAATGTTCCTAATGAAAGGAAATCCATTAAAAAAGATTAAAGAGAAGCTGGAGAAAGAGCAAACTAGCAACCCTGGCTGTCCTGTTAAACGCCAGTCAGACCAGGAGAAGGCTGGTGACTGGTCACAATTTAGTGTTAGCGCACCCAACATTGGCGTTTAAAAACCACACTAACCTTCTAAAATCTCAACTGGCAGGAGCACAGTGGTGGATTCCAGTCCTCAAGGTGTAGTTTGGAATATCATCACCAGCAACAGCTCTACTTCAACAGCAACTGGGGCATGGGCTCTGCTCTGAAACGCTATAGTACAAATTCATGCAGGGTGCAGTACAGAAGCATCTTGCCCTGTAATGTTACGCGTGGAGTTGTGTACGGTTGAAGCTTCTGGGTAGGCCCGGATGGCAGCAGGTCTGGGTCGGAGTTTCAGGAGATGTGGCTTAATGCTATGCACAAGGCACAAGCTGCTCCTCACCAGCCACAGGACCTGGTGACCCTCAGGAGCTCATGGCCACAGGACCTCAAGGGACAATGGCCACCACCTGCTGGTATATCACAGCAGACACTCCACTGGCACCAGCCTTACCAAACCCTGCCCTCTACCCCTGCACAGTGCCATGAGCTCCTGTGCAAGCAGCTGCACACAGCAGCTCTGAGGACATGGATTATTTTTAGCAATCATGTTAAAAGCACTTACTTACACTATGAACACCTTCTTCATATTGACACTTACTTAAAAGCCAGGAACCTGGGAGCAGCACAGCATTTAACTAGGGAGAACCAAAGGCAGCTTTAAAATGCAAAGACAAGTTGTCTCAATTCTCCTGCTGCCTTGTTTGCCACGTGAGGGAGCACAGACCAGTCCCCACCATGTCTGCTGCAGGCACCTGCAGCTGCTGAAGTTTGAAGGGTGACATCACAATGATGTGTATTCTATACCCAACCAATTTTTCCATTGGATCTTGAGTAACACATTATTAAACAATCTGCATTGACTCCAGTTTTGCTGCTGAAGGGTTACAACTCATTAGGAGCACCAGCAATGTATGAATGGGTTCTTACTTGTTCAGAACTCAGCAGCTACGTTCACCTCCTACTGTGTGCATAAAGTAACACCCCTGAATTAAAAATGAAAGCTAAAGGAAAGCATCAATCTAAGAACTGGCCACAAACTAAGTTTCTTTCTTTTTATAGCCAAGCCGAGCACCACCAAGTTGCACCAGAGCATGTTTCCCCTGCTGCAGGACAGCACAGGCCAGGCAGGCAGCACTGCACACATAGGCAGGTGTCACTGCTGCACCCTTCTCCCCTCCCTGCCACCAGCCAACACTACCTTAGGTCCTTTTCACCCATAAGGTTTCTTACTGTTCCTAGAAGGTCAGTTTGTGTACTTGTAAAACAAAGTACCTGTGGCTGCATGGATCAGTTTTCACACAGCATTCCCAGTGAGCTCCTCACTGCAGCATTAGCAGCTTCTTTCAAAAGACGCTGAACACACGATGTAAAAACGAAGAAAACACTGAGGGAGCACACAGCACGCTATCAGCTCTTGTCGGTTCTGCGCTCTAGAGGTTTATAAAGCTTCTTTTACTTGGAAGTTTGTGTAAGGGATCAAATAGGTGCAAGTCAAACAGAACTTCTGAGAAGCGCTTTGGCACCTACCAACCTACCAGTCGCTTTGCAATTTAAATAAGGCCCAACTTCCTAAACTCAAAAAGAAAGTTAGAGTTGTAAAAGCAATTTCACTGGGTTTTCCTCAGTTTTTGAGAGTCTATGCTATGGACACTGGTATTCGTTACCTCTAAACAGTCACTGTATATTTTAAGTTATAGCTAAATTTTCCCTGAAATTTGTAAGCATTCATAATCTGAAACCTGTGGCTAGCATTTTTCACGTGACTCCAGGACAAACCTGCACCTGCAAATGACATCAAGTCTCACTGATAAGATGGCACCAAGTGTTAAGTAGATCTCAAAGCAGAGGGGTAAAGAATTTGGGGTAACTGAGCTTCCTGAGGTGATCCTGAAACAGCGATACAGAACCCACTGCATACTGTTTAGTGAAACAGAAAACATGCTATGCAGACCTTGTCACAAACATAAATAGGAAAAAGACTTTTAAAAAAAAAAGAACAAGAATTCAGAGCTTTCCAGTGTCACAGCTCACAGAAAATTAAAAAAAGTCATGCTTAAGTTTTCAAATATTCCTCAGACACAGCAAACCTAAATAGTATTCAGTTAAATAAATGCATGAGATACTCTGGGAAGCGGAGGTAAGAGAAAAGCTTTAAACTAAAAGAGGAAGGAAAATTTTGTTTCAATAAACAGCACTTTTTTTTTTTTATACACAACAAGCTAGTACAAGGAAAGGCTAAAACACTGCTTTAGGAATGGCCATTTACTATCGGCACAAAGCATAGCTTACCCTTTTTAAATAACACAGTGAATTTGCAATACATCATTTACAAAACACGGATCGATTTATTCAAATTTTGTTAGTGTTGTCAATCTCATAATTTAGCAGAGGTGGAACTGAGGTATACCTTGTTGAGGGAGGTTAAGTAATACTTGGAAGCCTCTTTGCTATAACCCACTTGATTACTTTTGTTTATGTACACAGAACAGCAGCACACTAAACATTCACAAGCTGTGTCATAGTCGCATTACAATAGTCATTTTTATAAACAACGGCAAATGCAATAAAAACAAGTTACCCTTTTTTTTTTAAATCTGAAATGAAATGTTTGATTTAAAAAAAATAACAGTAGTTCATTTAAGGAATTAGTCTCTTCTGACAGGTATTAAGAAATCGGGCGTCAGTTTTTAAAATGCTTGATTAGCCAGAACAGGTCTGTATTCTTCATGTAAGTTCCTTAACTGCATGTCACCGTTTCTCAGTCACGTGTCCTTCAGGTGTACACAGGGAATGCAGAAAGTCTCAGGGATCCATGTTTGGGAGGAGGAAGGGAAAAAATAAAGGAAAAACACCTCTTAATGCTGTTCCAGAGAGACTTACCATTCTTCTCACGCGGCAAACAGTAATGACGTGAGCAGTCCCCTTAGCTTTAGCAGCTCCAGTGAAGAGTCCGGTGGTCAGTTCCATGACCAGTGCAACTATCTATCATAGACTGGATTCTTTGGGAGGAAAGTCAACATTTGTCACCATTGTGACCACAGTCACAATATCCTCTGTTGTTATAATGTTAGTTAATTTTTGCATCTGAATGATACGTTCTTCTACGCAGCCTGCTGACAACCTGGCTTCCGCATCATGATCCCAGCATTCCTCTATGGTTTCACAAAGCATTGCCATTCCCTGTGGGCAAACAAAGCGAAGTAAAAAAAGAATGGTATACACAGCTAGCAGCAAGTTTTAAGAAGTGATCAGAATCTAGCAATTTAATAGAAAATTGCATTTCCACAGAACAGTTTCGGTTGGAAGTGACCTTAAATCTCATCTAGTTCCAAACCCTGTCCCATGGGCAGGGATACCTTCCACTGGGCCAGGTTGCTCAGAGCCCCGTTCAGCCTGGCTTTGAACACTGCCAGGGATGGGGCAGCCACAGCTTCGCTGGGCAACCTGTGCCAGGGCCTCACCACCCTCACAGGGAAGAGCTTCCTCATACTGAGTTTAAACCACTCCTCTCCAGCTTTCTTGTCGCCCCCTTCAGGCACTGGAAGCTGCTCTAAGGTCTCACTGGAGCCTTCTCCAGGCTGAACCAGCCCAGCTCTCTCAGCCTGCCTCCATAGGAGAGGTGCTCCAGCCCTCAGAACATCTTCGTGGCTTCCTCTGGACTTGCTCCAACAGGTCTGCATTCCTCCTGCTCCCCTTGAAGAGTGCTAGGAATCAGCAGTGGTGTTACTGCAAGTCTCTAGCCATGAAGCAGACCTGGGAATCATAGAATTCCTCCCTAACTAATCCCAGATATTTCTCATACAACACTGCTTATCCTATATAGCAGTGTTCAGTTTACAGCATTCCTGTAGTAATCAAGGCTATTAGCTCTTAAATATACTAACTTGTGCATTCAAAAGTAAACCTCAAAAATCTTTCATCAAAATAGTGAAAGATAAGTAAAATTACAAAAAAAAAAAAAAAAAAATCACTCTCTAATCACTCAGAATATTTTAAGATTAAGAACATCCCAGTTTACAGTCCATTTAATTCTTTTACTGGAATTACTAAACTTACATTCTTCCTTAAAGGCAGCAGTATGAACAGAACACCGGATTAACAAAATCTGAAATTCAAATCCTGACAGAACACTGCAGAATGTGGTTGTGTAACGACTTACAGCATGTTTTTGCCAGCATTCTCTTAAAACAGGTCTCTTCTTTTTATGAACTACAACTTCCTGCATGTCTTCAAGGGAGGGATGCTGGCCAATTTCTTCCTCAAATGGCAACATGTACTCATCTACTGGGCCTAAAGACAAAAAAAAAAAAAATTAACCCACAAATTTTGCTTGAAAAAAAGAACAACAAAAAACCAAAAACCTGATATCCGAGCAGTGCAGTCCGCAGTGAGACTCTTCGGGAGCAGTTTGCTTCCCACTGCCATTCAAGGCTCGTCCTGTGGCAGATTAGCAGCAAGCAGTGACTAGGATTCTAAGCAAGCACATTTTCAGGAGCCACCAGCCTCTGCTCCCCGGCGTGTGGCAGCCGAGTGCAGCTCCCGGCCCGGCTCCCCTGCAGCTGAAACCTTGGGAGCACACGGGCGGAGGGGGGCGCTCGGATCCGCGGCTTCTCCCCCACCTCCGCCAACAAACCCCAGCCGGGAGAAGAGACATCTTCGTCCCTCATTCAAGCGCGGGCTCCCGCGGTGTCTCATTACCAAGCAGGCGCCCGATCGCCGCTTTTGAGTGTCACCAATACCACAGATGCTACAAAAGACAAGTTTGCAACAGCAACTGCTGCATCCCTCTCCAAAAGAAGCATGCTGCCGCCTCCTTCAATCCACACAGGCCAGGATGTAACTGCTATTGTTGCAAGCTAAGCCTAATGGTCATCATTAACTGGATGAGAGGGACAAGGTTTACAGGCTTTACAGATTTTACGCACTCAGATAAATGTCTGAAAAAAACCTAAAGGGAAGAGAGAAGAAATGAATGTACACTATGGATGAGGCCAGTGAAACAAACCAGGCACCTTCTGAAAAAGACAACAAACCCCAAACACATTTGAAGAGTGAAAACGGCAGCTGTGACTGCAGAGCTACACCAGGCTGTATTTCAGGAAGGCTGCTCTCCTTAACTGCAGTCTCCTTTACCTTCTGGAGTAATAACTACAATGCCAGAAACCTCTGACACATCTCTAATAGGAGGTATGTACATATGTTTTACAGTACAGGAAAAAAATCAATACAGAATGTGGGGCAGCCTGAGAGATGTGTGCAAGATTGTGTCAATCCTGTTAGTAAACAGGTTAACATTTTAAAAAGGGTAAAATCTCCCCAGTGGCATTTCCTCTCCACGAGGAAATGTCTGAAGCAGAAAAGCACTGCTTGGAGCAGAAAAACACAGTGTGGCCATGCACTGATCTGCTGAGGTCTCCAACCCATCTTGGATTTTCACACAGACAGCTGTCAGCTTCACTGGGCTCCAGCAAGGGAGCTTATGACAACCATCATAAGCTCGTCTCACTAGCCCAACTGAGTCAGTCACCTTTACTCAGTTGAATTTAGCTGCTTCAGACTGTACTGAAAATGCAACTTTCTCCCAAACAAAAAATGGTTTTGAGCCCTGTCTTTTACCTTGTTCTTGATTAACCCCAACTTATTCTGGGCACCCAAAAAAGATCTCCATTCACAAAATTTAAAGACTATGCATACCTGAAAAGGGTTTCTTTTCTTGGTAGTGCAAAAACTGGATCCAACAGTCTGCTTTATGAGAAAAACACCTGTGATGGATCCATAGCTAACAAGTATCAGCTGTGGATTTGTCAGACCTTGCTGAATTTTCAATCTTTAAGCTACTGACAATTATCGAGAAGTTCTGACATCATATGAGCTGAACCAATGTTACATCAGTGACAATGAAGACAAAGGGAGGGTAGGGAAGCTCTGAACCTACATGAAACAGGCTCACTCAGGCACCTACGGTTAAACCAGACACAGCAACTTTTCTATGTCCTGCTGCTGACAGCTGACCTCCTGATGCACTGAGGAGCAGTTTCCTATGATGAAGGGCCAAGGAGGAATCTTGCATATGCTGATGAACAGCTAGAAAATGGTTAACCTCATCAATGCTCTCTGCAATAAAATATATGTCAACCTATGAAAAATGCTTCATGTCTTTCAGCCTTGTAATTCCCTCACTGACAATCTTTGACATTAGGAAGTGTTTATGCCTGTCTTCCACAGGCAGCACTACGAGGTTGTTCTCCAGACGCTAAGGTATACAGCAGGAGACATCAGTTTTTCAGCAGGTGCTGGTGGGATATCTCAGTTACTAAGGTTAATCTCATCTGAGCTTTTGTTTATGAAAAGAAGCAATAATAAACTAACTGGCACTAAAACTGTCAGGCTGAACTTGTAAGAAATCAGACATACTAGGTGGGGCACTCCACAGTAAATCTCCCTCTCCCTTACCATGACCAGCTGGAGAAATGCAACAGGTATCCATGTATCAAGGGACACCAAGTACAGAAGAGACTAAATTATGAAGTGACTACATGATGTCAGTGTTGCCTTCACTTCCCCACAAAACTACCACCCTTATGAAATTTTATTACATACATCTAATCCATCTGCCAGTTTCCTGCTTTAAATACACCTCTCACAAGTTACACAAAATATTTACACAAATTGAATATGTTCCTTACCATCTGAGGCGGTACAGCGTGATGCCAATTCCCAGAGGACTAATCCCATGGCATACATATCTATTCTCAAAAACGCATCCCTTTGGAAGTTTATAGCCCCTTCGAGTACCTCAGGAGCCATATACCTTCGTGTACCAACCTTGAAAGACAATAAAGCACAAAAACTTGTACACCAAGAAATCAAACAAGACCACTACTGCCACACTACCTAGTACTGTTGTAATAATGCTGGTGACCAGCACCATTTTTTGGTCTAAGATTAGAAAAACAGCCATGGTTATCCTCACTTAGGACTAAATCTTGGCAGTTTCTTGTATTCTTATATCCAAGTGTAAGTAAAAGGAATTAGAAAAAATCATACAGAATGGGCCCTATAAAGGATACAAAGTAGGAAAATCTGAACAGATTTAAAAATAAGACATCTGTGTAACAATTCAACGTATTTGCCACTGCCATTCTACAGTTGATCTACTTGAAGATGTGCTTTCTTACTGAAGGCGGGCTGGGCTACACAATCTTTAACGGTCCCTTCTAACCCAAACCATTCTATGGTTCTGTGATTTTTTCATGTCATAAGGACATGAAATGTGCTTATGTTCCTCCTTGTGACAGGAGCAGTAATAAAAGGAAAACTAGCTACTAGAGTGTAATTTATACTGAGAAAGTTACATGAAGTCACTTGCACAAAACTGGCTATTATATTAAAACTTCAGGGATATCCATTCTCTGTGGCTACAGTCAATGATGAAATTATGTCCTCCAAATAAATCAGAACTTGTTTGGTGCCAGAACAGGATTTTCTTCACTATTTAAACCTTCGCAGAAATAGCTATGTTTCTCTTCAGCAGTTTTACTGAGGTTTTATAATCTTACTGTATGGCTTTTTTGTCACTCAACAATGAATTGTGGCCTTCTCCATAAAATTAAACATACTTTGTTTTCCAGAAACTATAATGCTCTAAGCTCAAGTCTGTTATTTTAAAGGTACATGGTACAAAAACAGCTTCCTTGCATGACCAGTGCTTGATTAGTAGTACTGTTGTCATTTTAGGGAAGTGACTGTTGCTACGTCAGAAAGTTAGAAACTGGCTGCCAGTGTCATTCCTCAGTTTCTGAACAGTGTTTCAGAACAATGAATAAAAGATGGCAAATAGACCAAATCCTCTACTAAGAACCAAAACAAGGGGAAAGACAGAGGCCATGTAATAAGATGGGGGGAAGGCTCTGATCTGTAATTATCTAAACTGTTTCATTTGTAGCTTGTGAGAAGAAAACATAAATTATCAGATTCCTTAAAGGTCAGGTTGATGATACAGTATCCTGTGCATGAAGAACACCTGAACTATTGATTTCCATTCACATGCAGTTAACGGTTGTAACATTTATGTAAATAAATCAGTGTTTACCTGTCCATGTGTATCCCCTGCAGATTTTCCAGCCTCAAACTTTAAAGCTAGACCGAAATCAGCAATACAAGCTGTAAGATTATTTTTCAGCAGCACATTCTTGCTTTTGATGTCCCTTTCAAGTTAAGGAAAAAAAAAATATAAATATTGAGCTCTAGAGCATGAAATACATAAAGTTCTAAGAAAAAAGTAAAACAATAAACCCCAAAATGTTATAATGCAAAAGGCAATAAAGTTATAGATAAGCATTCCATTTAAACAACAAAATAATAATAAGAGAATGATAATAAAACCTAGGAGTACATTTGCACAACTTTATTCTTATGGAAATATATGAGACAGCAACTATCACTTAATGCTTAAAATACACACAGATTTGTAAGCATGTTAAGAACAGAAACAGAATAAAGAGTTACTGCAGGCTTCTATTACAACTACATTTTGTTTGTTTAAATAACACAAGACAAAACACTTTGGAAAAAAAAAAAAGAATTGTCATTGTTTCTAGCAAGGAGATACATCATCTCCTGCAGAAAGAAAAGGCAATGGACAGATTGCCATCTGTCCTGTGTGTACCGCTGCCTCCCCTTTTACACCTCTCCCCCCCCCCCCCCCCATTCCTTTACCATCCGTCAAGCAGTTTTGCCATGACATTACAAATTCTGCAAAATCTGTATTTCTCTTACTCTGTATCTCCATCTTTTCATTTGGTTACCACTATCATTTCAGCTCTAGTGTTCTATATTTACCTCATTTAAAAAAAAACAACTAGCAATTACAATCAACAATAGGCATAACATGCTTACAGTAACAGTTTCTGTTTGAAGCACTCAGTATCATCTAAAGTTAAGTATGTTAAGTGTTTCAGTTGTTTCAGATAGCTATAATGCTAATTATTTCATATACCACATAGGGTACTTAATTAACTGTATAGAAAATGAAATTGTGACATTATCACAATCACCACATCAAGGTCTATAAACCATCAGCTAGATTTCTGTTTAGGCTGAGCAGGCTTTTCTTACGAGGCTCTCAACAATTCCGGAAGGAAGGTATCAGGGAGTAATCATGTAAATACTTCCTCTCTATCCATGTTTCACATCCTTTAGCTCAAAGTTGAATACTAACAATCACCTGAAAACATTTTACATATACTATACCTATGTGAGATGGCAGGCTTATGTCCATCTTTTAGCCCTGGTATATCTTCATGAAGATAAGCCAAGCCTCTAGCCATAGTCTGAGCTATGTGACAGAGCTCATTCCAAGAAACCACATTAGCCTTGAGAAAGTCTGTTAATGAACCCTGCATGGAAAAAAAACAGCAAAACCAGAATATCAACAATTACAGGACCAATTTCATTCTCATCTACTCATAAACAAAAATTCTAGTTGGCCTCCATCACTGAGGAACACAATGCACCTGGCTGCCTTTCTCTGTTTTCTGATAAATCATGTAATTATACACATACATACACAAACAACTGCTAGTTTAAACAACAAAAAAATAACTTTTGCATTGTCTCTAGTCCATGAATAGAATCAAGGTGGCTTTACACATCAGCTCTACAAGCAAAAAGTGCAGTGAGCTCAAGTACAGTGGCACACTTGACAACGAACTGCACTCAGCTGTGTCAGAAATGGGAGCTAGACTTTAGACATTTTAACTCTTTATAAAGAGAACCCTGTTTTTACAAGCATGATTTATCATCTTCCAGGAACAGGAAATTACAGGTTAGATTCACCTTCAAGAATCTTACTGGACTGTGTACAACCATTCTTTAGGAGCTTTAATAGCCTGTCTTTTCTTGTGGATCAACAACAGTAAACTCCAGTTTCACAACACAGTTTCAGAGTGAAACATACACTCTGAATAAAGTGATAATATAAAGTAAAATATATTCAACGTAAAGCTCTTCTCTTCAGAGTCACTTCTATAGCGCACTCTATACACACGTTTTCACAGATTTACATATTATCCAGATTGTGAGATGTCACTGTGTCACATGTTGCTGTGTGAAAAGCCAAAAGGGAAAAATTAACAAAGAGCTGTCAAAGTGTAGAGGCTATACTTCAAAAATAAAACTAAAAATCCTATTTTCCATCAGTTATCTCAGATGCCATCTTTCCAACAGAAACAGCATTTTCTTTTAAACTCTTACAGACCTTTCAGAAAGGCAAATTAGTTTGTTATTATCTACTTATCATGGAGATCTGTCAAAAAACGTAAATGGTTGCATAGTTCTAGTCTTCTAAATTATTAGAGCAGAGGCATAAGTGGGACAAAAATGAGAGGATGAAGAATTTAACATTCAGTACTAAAAATATGATCTATGACCTAACCGTAATGCATTAAAATGTCCCTATTTTCTCCAATCTGCTACAGGTAACATCATCCTAAAGCCTCCCTGCTGTGCCACTGCTAAGTTTAAGTTAGGGTGTCTTGGCTTCCCACCTCTTTTTGTACTTAAAACTCTGTGACAGTTGTATGCATTTAAAAAAAAAATCTAGGCGGCTAATATATATTAAATATATTAAGAATATGTTCACTGTTTTATATTTATTAATGTTTCTTACCATGATTATAACGATAGAATGGATACATATTACTTCACTCTTACAGACTCAAATCAACTAACACAAGTAAAATAAAAATAAAAAAACAAAGTCTCTGCAAGATGCAGTTTATTGAATTTATATATGTTTAGATGGGAAATATTAAAAAATACATGTTCTAAAAAGCAAAAAGGTAGAATGATTTGTTTCAATAACATTGCCTCTTAAATCCAGCATCTCCTCATAGCCAATGAAAGGAGACAAGCTAAGAGTAAGCAAACACTCTTTTAAATTTTATTTCTTAACTGTCTCAAGTTCACATTCGTAAGAAATTTCTAAGGCCATAATCACAAAATAAAAGAGCTATTATGCTGAGAATTAAACATACCTTCTCATGAAAGGCTGTAATTAACCAGAGATCAACATCAATGCTAGTGCCTCGCTTCTCTGCGCCAATGAACTGCAAAATATTGTCATGTTTCATCCCAGGTAAACTGTAAATTTCATATTCATTCTGCCATGACTGTTTGTCCTTTAAACAAAGAACACAAACCACATTAATACCACAATAATGAGTACAAGAGGTACTTGAGGTACTTTCCCTGACAGACATTACCATCCACAATTTACCATGCATTTGTAAGTGACCTGTCAAAATAACTAAAACCTTTTTTTTGGGGGGGGGGGGGCAAAGACAGGCTTTACAGGGCAAAGAAAGCAAGCATACTGTATGGTATTAACAATTACAAATGTTTAGACTAATAACTATGCTACAAACTACTGATCTAACATATAAAGAAATGATAAAAAACTGTCTTAACATGTATTACATATTCACATTTAGTGGAAAACTGTCTGAAAAAACTTAACTTGTTGTAAACAAATAATCAGCTGCTGAAAACAACCTTAGCTATCACAGGTATGAACCATGGCAACACAGAAATCTGTAGATCAGGACTGGAGTCTACATAAGGCAAATCATTACAGTATCTTTCATCTTAAGAGCATAGTTCAATTTTTGTATTTTATGAATCTGTAAGAACCCCATAAAGAATTAGAAACAGGTTTTCCTTAGTCTGCAATATAGCTTATATTGTTCTGATGGCCAAAACCAGCATAAATACATGCCTTTTCTCCTAGAAGGATAAGAAACTGCAGATGTATTTATTCAGCAAGTCACACTTGGTTAATCATCAGAAAACACAAGCACATTTTTTTCACCTCAAACAGCAGTGAGTATTTTAAGTTGATTTAAAATCTATCCTAATGTAATTGCATATGATCACTTTGTGTTCTTTAACTAGACTGGACCTGAAAATTATGAGCAAAATCTATTCTAAACATAGCTTTTAGAGGGTACTTGCTGGGAAGCAAGTATTTCAATTATATTTAATTTGAGCAATCACCTTATAGGCTTGCATTTCAGGGCAATCCTTCTAAGTACAATTTAATTTGAAAAATATTGTCTAGTTTTTCTCATCTGATGAAAAGATGTGTGAGACTTACTTAAAACTCTTCACACCAAGTAAGTATTTTTATGACTAGAAGTATGAAAGTTCCACTGAGCTTACTTCAGTAATATGCTTGTTGCATTAAAATACTTATTTTAATTCAATAAAGCTCTACCTGCCCATTTTTCAGCTCAACATTTCCATCTAGATTTACATTATATATTGAAAAATTTCTAAAAAGCCTCTTATCGTGACTAAAAAAGCTGTTTAACATTATGATATTACAAGCAACACAGGACATTAAGAACTTCTGCTTACCTGAATAGGGAATATTTTGACTGCAACATACTCGTTTAGTAGTTGAGCTTTCCATACGCAACCAAATCTTCCCCTAGCTTTGATCTCTAGTAACTGCAATGGCTTCAAACCCATCAATGGTGAAGGTGGTGGTGGTCCAGGATCCTGAAATCAGGTTAAACCCATTAATGAATTTAGTTATTATATGTGCTATCTATGATGACGGCCCAAAAATAAATGCTTGTAAACTGCAAGAGATTTGTATAAGGTACTCAACCCCCTTACATCAAATTATCTCATAACAAACCAGAAACAACCCAGCAGCCCTTCTCTGCAGGAAAATAAAATGAAATTGTAAAACATGCTCAGAATTAATGTGTGACAGCATACCAACAGTTACAGTATGAATCTAACCATGTGAAAAAGCAGAGCAGAAATGAAGGAAAAAAGATAATCAAGCTTTACTTGTTACTTTTTTCAAGACAATCAAAATAAGCACCTTTGATACATTTAAGGCTTGGGTTTTTGGTTTGTTTATTGGACATACACATGATCCTTTCAAACCTTCAGTTCAATGATCTGGTGACTTAACTCTACAAAGCCATTAACTCCATTTCTGAGTGACTGACTCTGGGAAGCAGATGAGGTCTACATCAGCAGATTGGATGGGGGCAGCAGTGCAGAGCTGGAGTGTATCCCCTCACTGTCTGCAGTGACCACATACTGGTTGAGTTCTCACAAGCCATCTGAGCTGATACCAGCACAGCTCTCTAATTCAGTAATTCTACTGTTTATGGGAGACATGAGGTTGCAAACCAAGATGAGGGCAGGCCATGCTACTAACGAGGTCCTCCAGTACATCGCATTTTTTTTTCATTCAGGAACCACTGAAGCACATGCATAGAGCAGGCATTTGGCACAGGAAGCCAAGTATCATCACCTCCAGTCAGCCCTCCAAGCTACACTAATGGTGGTGTGAAGAACGACAGCATCAATGCTTCAACCTACCAATCCATTTTAACTGCTCCCAAATTTGCTAATGTAGATAGCTAATAACTTACTGAAATACAAGTACTTGGCTGTACCCCAGAAACAGAACTAGAATTAAATTTAAGAGATCACCTTGTCATATCTCACAGTGTTTGTACACTATTGAGGGGCCAGCCCAACAGTTGCTTTTCAAATATGACAGCACAGGCTAGGAAGCACAACTGCAAGTGAGGCAGAGCTTACACGCAGCTATCCATATAACCACCAATATTTCTTCAGATCTAAACAATTTCCCTTTCTGGGAAAGAAAATGTGAAGGCTTAAGGAATACCCTGTATTTTGTATTTTATACATCTCTTACATATCCTGTACCATGCACATCATCTGACTGTAAGAAGTAGATTTTTTAACTTTCTTGCCAAAGGCCTGCTTCTATCTGGGCTGTCCTCTTTTCTCCAGCCTTTCATGGTGGATTAGCTGTACTTACGTAAGCTTCTTCCCTACCATGAACAAATGCATCAGACCCATATACAAATGCTTTTGCATGGAAGAATGTCACTCTATGCACAGAGCATGATTGTCTTCTGTACGATCCCTGTTTTTTGCAGGAAGGTAAGTCAAGTTCTGGTGTATAGTGGTCACCAAGCAGAATTACCAACACTGTCAACACAAGACACGGCTCCACCTTCCTTTTGCAGTCCCCCAGATACGTTTAAACCACAATTTGTTCTTCAGTCCCAATTTCTACAGAGAACTGTCGATGTCAGTGGCAGGGGTGATAGCTTGGGAGTACACTGCCAGATCACACAGATGGGAAGAGGGTGAATGACTGCTTTTACTGGCAGTGCATGACTATGGAGACCAGAAAACTGCACCACAATTCTCAGTATCACGCATGAAAGAAACAAACATACAAATGAAAGTTAGGTGTTGCTTTTAAATGATATCCACACTGCAAAATACAATTAAAAAAAAAAACAAAAGTCTACTGTTCAAAAAAGTCTCTATAATATATGTTTGGCTTCTCAACTTTTTCCCAAAGCAGTCCCAGCTGTAATACTGGTTTAAAGAGAGAGAATGAAAAAACACTGGAGGAGCTGCTTCTACAAAACAAATGAGAGTACTCTAAACTTAAGTATTAGAGCACTTCAGTGAACAACAAAAAATCTTGTGCATGTTAAAGACACATCTTCTGAAGAACGTGGTTTTAAGTATACTTTACTATTCTGAGAATGGAGACAAGTACTTCTGTATTGAACATAGAATTTTGAGTAGTTTAAGTGCAGGAATAAAATAACCATTCACTTGTTTCTTATTATGCAACAAATATATCCTTAAAGAATAACAAGCTTTGAGGACAGAGTTATAGCAATTTAAAGAAGCTGTAACCTAATTCCACAAATTAGTAACTGTAAAAGAAACTATAATGTTTTAAATTCAAATTAATAGACACATTACAATACTGCCTTCAAACAAATATGAAATCCTTTTGCAAATTTGACAGCAACAGATGCTTAAATCTGTTACATCAAAATTGCTGAGTTTAAAGTGGGCAAGTGAAAATATAGAAAATGAAGTTTCAGAGTTAAGTTTTCCCTCCAATGCTGACTTTCATTCAGTACCAAAGCCCTTTATATGAATATTCCAGATACCAGGGAAATCACTGTCCTTAATTTGTAATAGTTACAGTTCCAAGGGAAACTGGAAACAAGATGCCCAAATCTACTCACAAAAGCCAACTAACTCTTAACTGTTATTTTAAAGAATCCTGAGCACTGTGCAGCATCTGGGGATTTAACATCTGTTAATTAAACAAGCTTTTAAAGTTTTGAACCTAGCAACTTGCCTAAATTGAGAGAACGATTTATGGGAAGTAACCCCTTTGCTTTAGTAGCTAGAACCTCCATTCCTTTCTATATCCTCCACCAAAACATCTGCTGACATTCTGAAGCACCCTAGATGATTCTTTATTTCTTGACAATCAAGCAAATGATCACTTAATAGTTCTCAAATATTTGGTGAAAAAAATTGCACTGTCTATCATAAGAGAAGGCACTAACTCCTCAATAAGAAGTGGCCAGCGATAACTGGTACTTTTTACTTTCACATTAGACCATGATACCTTTCATATACCTGAATTTCTTATTTCCTAAAAAATGCTGGCATTTCAAAGTATTTTTCCACTACCTTATACAGCAACCTCCTGTGGTTCCCTGCACATTTCCATTTTGTGTTGAGACATTTCTATGAAGTCAGAACTTTTGGTGTGCTTATGAAGCAGCAACACACACCCACACACATAAATCAAAACAAACCCAGATTTAAAATGTAAAGTGTAATTGCCTTCTGTTAACATAACTAAAAAGAATAGTTTTCCAGTTTATTATTTTAACAACTTTGTTAAAATCAACAGGCATTTACTCTAAATCTATAGGTACTATTTTTGTATAGCAACATTCTTTCACAATATTTTAAACTTGCTCTACTTCTAAGCAAAAATGTTTAATATGCCATAGGCATAATTATTTTTGTATGGCTTTTTAAAATCATCTCTGTGTTGCCAAGGATGATGATATAATGTGAGTATAGCTATAATGTGCACATATTAGTCTAACAGCTCGCCACAGCTGTCAAAAAATCAGCACCCAATTTTCCATTCCTGAACCTTCCCTGCCCCTTTCCTTGGACCGATTCTGCCATTGGTTTGACGATACCACAAATCAAGATGATACACTATACTGCCAGAAAGCTTTTCTTTTGGGGGGTTTGTGTGTGTGTGTGTTTTCTGTTTGGGGTTTTGTTGTTTGGTTGGTTTTTTTTTTGTTTGTTTGTTTAGGTTTTGTTTTTAAAAACAGGTAGTTTGGCAAATTGAATCAGTTTGCAACAACATCCAGGTTAAGGCAAAAAGCACTGCAAGGCAGAGGGAAGAGGGGCTCCCTCTTTTGGTAGCAGTGAGTCACTGGCCCATCTCACTTCGTCCACACTATACCTTCTCAAAGCCACTCTGTCCTAACCCCAGGGCAGTTCACAAAGGCAACAGGAGCAGGAACACTCCTGCCACACAATCATCTACTACTAGGGGGAAAATGAGAAGCAGCTATGTCTGCAAAAAGTACTTCAACTAACAAAGTCATATGATGCATTCTACTTGGACAACTAAGCTTTACTCTTCCTATAGGTCAATGCCGTCAATCCTTAACACCATAAGTTCATGTTGCATGTTCATCTCAAAATCATGGACATCTAGTTATGTTGTACACTCCAAGCTTTTCAAATCTCAAACAAGACTTTTTTGGTTCTGATTTTTATAGCTGGGAATTCCAGTCAGCTGCCAGGTAGTGCATACTAGTCATACCAGAAAAAGAACAGAGGGAAAATATATTCATGGAAGAATGGTAACTTACAGAAATAGGTTTCCTTAAGTGCCTTCAAGAATAGATCTTAAGATCAAAGAGAAGCTTAACAAACATAAAACTACAAATCCCTTCCAAATATGACCAACTAAACAGATTGTTTAAGGACCTGCCCCAACACAGTCTGTCAGCACTTGGGTTTATCTCCAGTTATGTCTTTCATATGGCAACTGAATCAGGTGACTCACCATGTACAACAAAGAGAAAAAAAAAAAAGACCAATTAGCCAAACAGGGTTGTACACAGACACAATTCCCTTTCCTGGCTCCAAAATATAAACAAGTTCTCAAAATTCCTGACCACACACAATTTTTGTTAAATGGTGCAGTATTTTCCCTTGGTTATATTTATTTTACAGCTTATATTGTGAATAACTTACTGGTTTAAAGCCATGCCCCCCTGTCCTATCCCTACAGGCCCTTGTAAAAAAGTCTCCAGCTTTCTTCCCAGCCCACTTAGGTACTAGAAGGGAATAGGGTCGAAAAGTTCTCACTGAAAAACTCTGATGACTGTCTTGGCTGCTTTCTCATTTGGGTCTGGTTCATTTTCACCAGCTGATCTGTAAAGTTAAGATCCAAATACTGTAAAAGGAGTCAGAATTCTTAAATTTGTAGTTATTCTAAAATTTACTACAATTTGTGTCAAACTACATTTCTTTTAAATAGCATCAATTTTTCTCCTTTCACTCCAAAAAATCCTCTCTTTTATCACAGATTGCAAACATATTCCTTAAAGTAATATAAACAAAGTAGTTATTTGTAGTGAAGATACTTCAGCTTCATCCCTAACAAAAATTATGCCAACTGAAGAAAAACAGTAACACAAACAGAAGGAACCCAGCTAACTCTTTACAGATGCAAGATACTCGGGAAAATATAATTTCCATTATATTTTCTTCTAAGTTACAAGACATTACAGCTTTTAGAGAACTAAAGAGACAATGGAAACTGAGCACTCGCATTAAAACTCAAATCTTGACTTTTTCAATATCCAATTTAGAAGTCTAGCAATAATGACCAGATTTCTGAATTAACAGTTTTCAGTTACTTGCATTTTCACATAAAGTGTCAGTAGTTTAACACAAGTAAAAATAACTTCTGGGCACTGAGAAAGACGAAGCAGAGACTTAATAGTGAAAGAGTATTTTTCTTCAGGTAATCTATTCCTTCAAGCTCCTGAATCAAAAAAAAAAACATCACTCAAATCACAACACAAAGACCACACACCTCAAACAGCTGTTGGCATACCACAGGTGGGAGATGACAACAGACACCCAAAGACAGGACAGGAGTGGGCAGGATGTGCCATGTACTTTCAGGGCAGCCTACCACAACACAGTGTGCAGTCTGTACTGGCTGAACTGCTCCCACAGCCCAAGACTGAGGTTATCAGCACATGCTGGCCCAGTGGAGCCCTCACCGCCACTCATACGAAGCGGCACCAGGGTGGAAGTGACACAAAGGCAAGAGGGTAGCTGAAGAACACAAACTGACTACGCCTCGTGTGTTTCATTATCAGTTCCTGAAGGTGTTTAACTTGATAGCCTGAGACACTACAGTAAATTTTAAGAAAGCTATGAACAGCAGACTAAATCTGTTTTTAAACCATGCATGCTTACATATTTCTTCTCCAAAACACTGACTGGTGAAAAAAGTAATTAATACCAAAATAACTTCTTACATGTCCACAGAAAGTTCCATAACCATGAACAAATATCAATGCATCTTACCTCAATCATTATATGAAAGGCGTGCTTGTAGAGGGGAAAAAACACAGGCAAAAGAAATTACTATATATACCAATAATGGAATGAAAAACAGCTCATAAGAGACAAAATCAATTGTTTGTGAATTAACAACAAAAATATCCCTGGGGATAGCAATACTTCCTTGCACTAATAATGGACAATTTATATATATATATACACACACACGTAAAAATCCATCATTGATATGTTAGCAAAGTGGGCAATAAAAGGTTATTATTCAAACCCTTTGCTGAATTGACCTTATAATTAAAACTACAGTTGTCCATTTTAGGTTTATAAACGTTCATGTTTCTACCAAACAGTATATAAAGACATGCAGAAAGTTCATACAAACACAAGTTACACAAGCTTATTTCTTGTTTCCTCACAAGTGTACAGTAGAGGGCAGGGTTGTACTTTTTAAATTCACTGTAATTAGTCACTAGCTGTGGAAAATGAAAACTTTTTAATGTCTGTGTTATAACTAAACCTTTGAAATAAATAGGTCATCATATACTAGGTCTGTATTACTAAATTTAATCAACAAATCTGGCATGCTAGAGCTGTAACTAGAACAAGTGAACTTGGAAAAACTATATCCAACATCTATAAAGGGAGATTACAGTATTAAAGATTCTTTCAAACAAGTCACACGAGTTCACAGACTGTGGAATGAAATCCATTATAAAAACCTAAGTCCCAGAGCACTGTTGCTGAGACTTAAAACCACATTTTAATGACACACGCTTGTTTGTGTTACTTTCATCTCTTTTTTTATTGAACAATTTCATTGCCACTCAAGCAGAGAAGCGCTGAAACACCTTTTTTCCTCCTCATGTACATCTGCCTCAGCCATTTTCTTTGTCCTTTATAATTTGATCAGATAGATGTTGCAAGAGCATGAAATTCAACACTTGAAGTATTCACCTGCTACGTAACAGCTTTTTCTTCACCCTTTGTCTTTACATTCTTAAGGTGCTACAGAGTGGAGGGCCAACAAAAAACTTTTCTCTGCACTTTGAAAACTGTCTAGCACACGCTTAGAATTATCTAAATAATTAATAATAGAAGGGCTGAAGTATTTCTTGAAGGCTAGTTTAGTTGTGAGTCAGATTTATAAATACTATTATAGAGCTTGCAGTCACTGACAGAGAGAGCACTGAAGAACACCAGAGCTAAACAGGACCACTCCATCATTCAGCAGACCACTGGAGATGAGGGTAACACCCACAGCAAGAGGATGAAGCAGATTCTTGCAGGACCTGTACAGCCTCTGTAAATACTTTGGGGCATTTCATAAGTGAAAAAAACCCCATACTAAACAAAACCACCCAAATTTTTTTTCAGAGAACCTGATGATCTTCACCTTCAAATCTCTCAGAGCTGGTGGTTCCAGTAGAATGACAGCTATTCCACACTTGTTTAGGAGAACTACAAGTAAGATTCTGCAGCACTAAGTCCACAAACCACAAGCACAAGTTCCTCCTCCAAGCCCCCCCATATTTCTTTGCCAGAAGCAGCAGCCAAGCAAAATAAAAGTATTAATCTGTGAATGGGATAGGGAATGGCTACTGTATCAGAGTAATAGATCTCTGTGTACTCCTATTTCTCCTAACTCAAGTAAGTCAAAGAACAGACAACTGTTAAAAAAAATGTAAAAAGCATTGCTTGTATGAAATAGTTATTCAACAAATGTCTGGTTTGTGGCTGTAAAAAAAAAAAAAAAAATTATTTTCCAGGCTTATTTACTATTAAAGTTCTCCAGCTTCTGAGAATTTTTAATTCCTCAGAAATAAGGAAAAGATACACAAAGCCCACCTTTTTGCTCTTACCATAAGGAGGAACTGCAAATATGAAATTGAGAAATGAGTTCTCTTACTGCTCTCTTAAGGGGCTCAATGGCCCCCAAACACTAATAAATTAGACACACATGGAAATTTTGAAAAACGCACATCATAAGCCTCCTGGTTTGAAAATCATTGTCCTTCCCTTTAGACTACAGACCACTGCCTCAGGCTTTTCATCAGAAAAGCAAGCATCACCAGTTTAAGCAGTACCAGGTTATTACAGAAACGCAAATAGGTGCAACAACTCTTATAAATTGGCGGTAATCTCCCTCTCCCATTTGTGTAGCTACTATCTATACAAATGTATATAAACACACTAACTTCCTATTTATACCGACTGAAAAATACTTCTAAAGGTTTTATCATGGATTAGGGAAATTATGATATTTATAACCAACTAGAAAAAAAAAACATAAAAAAACAACCCAGCCAAACAGAATGCCCAAAAACCATAAATACCCCAAGCAAAAACACCATCCCAAATAAAAACAAATTCCACAAAAAAATCCAAGCAACGTGGTCTTCTCCAAAGTCTGGGCTACCCACAAATATATTGTGAACTTCAAAAATGTTACAAAAATATTTATAAACATGTGGAATTCTAAAGAAACGCAACTTACTGTATTATAAATTTATTACACTGATTACTTCAGGTGTTCTTAACTACTACCCTAAATAATCTGCATCCTCATCCCTCAATCTCTTTGGAGAATACAAGGGTAAAATTAATTATTTTTTTTTTAGAACTTCTGAAATGTGTAGTTCTCATCCATTCAGTGATATAAAACATTACCTGAAAGACATCAATCTGAAATATTCAGGAAAACGGACTTTAGTATGGAAAATTATTAAAAACCTTCTGAAGATAAGAGTACCTGACTGCAAACTTCATCGAGACCAGTACTTCAGCCTTCCTATGATTGTTCCAAAGCACTGTTTTAAGACTATAATCTACATGTGGTCTAGATAATGTAGATTTTGAATATTACTGTTTACAATGAATGAACAGAAGAGAAATCTTCAAGGTAAATTGTATGTAGCACTGTAAAAGCTTCCAGTGTCTTCCAGTGTCTTGTCAGTTGTTAAATGCGCATATGCTAAGTCAACATTTATGAGACTAAAACACAAAGTACATCCAGCCTTACCAGATGGATACACATCTTCATGCACCAGTCTCTCAGACCCACTCCATACAGGCCTAATTCTAAAGCTAAACCACCTTTATAATAAGCCAAGAATAAGATACAGTGTAGAAAGCTAAGGTATAGTATTGCAAGTATAGCATACAGGTTAGAATTATTTAGAATTCTGCTTAAATTAATGCAAAAGTAACTTGAAGCTCACACTATAGAAAGACATTTTAAAGCCTCTTTTTTTAACTGTACTTTAGAGTTCCCTTTAGGTTGCTATTCAGGATAAGTCACCTTACACCTGGATTTGTATTTTCTTACCTCTTGACAAAATAAGAATTTATGGTTTACTTAAATGGAGATAGCTCATTCTGAAGGTGAATGGAAAACACAGGGAAGTAGTTGGGTGGGGTTTTTGGGGGGTTGGGTTTCTGGGTTTTTTAAATGGATTTTAAAGCTATCAAAGCTTAGAATCAAAGGTCTGGATCTGGTCATACACAGAACATTTAAAAAGCAACACTATAAACTTGGTTTTCAATTGTTTGTCATACAAATTATTCCCCCTGTTAAAAGATTTTAAGGAGCTGCCTGTATTGTAAGAGCCCATAAATTAAACAAAGAAAAAGGGAAAAAGACACAGTTACAAGCTATTTACCTACTACACATTAAGGTCTCTTCATCTATAACAACTTTACTTCTGTATTCTTAGGGTGTCCCTATATTTATGGGTTTTTTTGGTTTTGGGGTTTCTTTTTTTTTTCCTTTCCTTTATACAACCGTATCATGGTTGTGCCTCTTGGACCAAAACCAAAGGATAATGCCAGATCTTCCTCCTGTGTCAGTCCAGCTGTTGTTACCAACTATAAAAGAAATTCTTATTAGCCCTCAAGATACGAAATGCAAAATTAGAGAACGTGAAATCATTCGCAGATCTAATAGTTCAAATCCAGAGGTCATTCAGCTATTCCTTTTAATACTAACACTTTATATGTTAATCATTCATTAACCACCGATATGTACCCAAAAAACAAATCCCTCCTAGCTAGCCACAAGCTCTCAGTCTTTTTTTTTAATTTTTACTCTAAGCTCCAGCTTTTCTTTGTTGATCGATCTTTTTCCCATTTCATGTAAGCATTTGGCTTCTCCTTCATGCATTTTTCAAGTAGCTAGTAATCTTCCCAGGTTTGGAATAAGTCCTAAAAACACCTCTCCCTTTCTTATTCTTCATTTTTCAAGTATTATTTTATTAAAATATCTGTAACAACAAGAAAAATAGTATGGCTGGAAAACAAAATCTGGAAAAAATCCCTAACAATTTAATTTCTTCATCCTTTTTCAGCAGCCAACTGTGTGACAAAGGGATAAAGGTTATCTCGGAAATTTTAAGCATACCAGGTATTTGATGTGCTGAAAGTCAATTTAGAGAATGGAAACAACAAATGAAAACCTTTTTCCTATACCAACTACAAAAAATTTACTGTTACTAATTACTTTTTTTTGAAAACAAACCTCAAGTTACACACACTCACCAAACTTGACACAGGTCTGGTGCCCTAGACCAGATGTATGAGGTTACAAACTACAGCTAAGAGCAGTGCTTGTTCTGTTATTTTGTTCTCATCCTTTTCATTTCCAACACAGAATTTAGTCTTCCACTCCTACGTATGCTGTCGGACCTGCAGTCAGTTCAGAATCTGTCTTGCTTCTATTGCTACTAGAGATTTTTCTTCATCATTATTCCCCTTGCACTATGTGATGCCGTTTTCAATTCTAATTTCTTACAGCTTAAACCGAAATACCAAAACCATGACATAGCTACAGAAACCTACTCATACTTGGGTGTCTTCAGAAAGAGATACACTAAAGAAAGACTATCATGGTATAGTAGTGAAGGGAGCCATACCAAAATGGCATCAACTAAAATTAGAAGGGGTTTTTATGTTCAAATAACCCCTCTTCCCCCCCACAAAAAAAAAGAGACCTCTTTATATATCTTTTATATATATCTCTTTATACAGATCTCTTTACATTTCACACATGTGCTTCTATACTATTCTTAATTCTTGGTTTATATAGCACGACATTGAAGACCAGGGACATTTTCCATCTATATAGGACCAGCGAGGTTCATCCTCATGGAGGAAGGGAGAAGCAACACATAAAAGATTATTGTACTTATATTGGGAATGATAGGTGAAAAGCTTAAATGAAGTGATACATAGGGGTTAAAAGCAGAAGACATAGTTGTATTTAACTATGCAATCCTCCACTCTGAGGAGAGAAAGAAATGGTAATTCCTAGCAACTAACCCTGCTTTTATAGACATGCTAATAGACAGGATCTGTCCATTCTGAGTTTTTAAATTTCCGGTACCACCAAACAGGCCTAGACCAGGGCTTTTTTGTGATTAGTGATTAAAAACGTGAAGTATCTTTAACCCAAGTAATTTCAAATGTTCCAGAAGAAAGCACAAAAATAGGTTATGAAGACATTATGTGAATCTGTAAAGCTTTTTTCAACCCTCTCAACATATGACTCTTACTTTAAAAACAACACAAAACAAAAAAAGCAACTCTGTGATCCAGTAAGATATTCATAACTTGAGCACTCAACAGAAAGTACAAGAGGTTAATCTCTCTTTGTACAGTAGGGATGTAAAATGTTGGAAGCCACAGCTCTGTGAACTGATAAAACCCAGAAGTGTTAACTTGTGTCAGTTACACTATAAAATAGGTTAAGGCCCTATCTATCAGTTGACAAAGTGGTAACACCACAGTTGTAATTAGCATTGACTGACAACTCTGGCCCAAGCTCAAGAGATGTAAAAAAATAAATGAGCATAACATATCAACTCCTTGCCATCCACATTTGTATTTCTACCAGGAATATTAGTAGGATGCTGTGGAGATATCCAAACTAATTTAAGAGTGAAAGCCTTTGTCTGCAAAGACAATACTGCTTCATTTTCAGTGTATCTGGAATTCATGAGTGAAAATTAACTGGGTGAGAGTCTTTTTATATGAAAATACACAAATTCAAATATTTAAAATACTCATCTATTTTTGGTAAGTTTATCAGACATATGAATAGATGTTTGCAGCACGATTAAATCAAATATAAATAAGAAAATGAAATGGTTCTTTCAAACCACTTGACGTATGCACATATGTATTTAGCAAATTTACACTTGTTAATAACTCATTTAAGGACTGAGAGTGACAGATTTTCTACATTTTGACAGATTTAACTGGATAGCACCCCAAACGATAAAGTGAGGCATACAGTTAACAGCACAAACAAGAGAGAGAGTAGTATGGAAGCAAAGACTAATGGGAGCAACAGGAGCAAGGACAGGTCCCTGCACCAACACCTCGAAGCAGTTCTGCTGTGGCTGCTCCTGAAACATGCCTCCGGACCCAGCGAGCACTTCAGGCTCAGGCATCGGCAAGGAGCATCTCGGCAGTTACCTGCTCTCATAGCCCCCTTGGACTCTCTACCCAAATAACTGAAGGAAAGCAGGACTGAAACATGTAAGGAGCAAACAAAAATATCTGCTGCTTTCCAGTCTGAAACTGAACATATAAACTAACTCTTCTGTATGAAATTTTAAAATAAGTATCTGTAGATTCAAAGGGAATATAAAGTTAACGTAAACCACGAGGCTGTGAACTCAGCTCAAGTTTGTGTAGGTAATGCCTGCCTGATACATGCATCTACCATGAATTACATTCAAAGGAAAATGAATGTTGTTTGCCTTTACTCAGATGTTTGTCCTTTATATTTCACTACAGGTTCAAAAATAAAATTTCTCCTAGCATTTTTTTTTAACTATTCCAAACAATTTCTTTCCCTTTTGCACACTGATTATTTTCATTTACTTACACCTTGTCTTAATTCTTCAAAAATGTCTTTCTTCAGTGCTTCCTCATTTTTATCTTTCACTTACTCATCTATCCTTTAATTTTTACTGAAAGAAAGATTAGTACCAGGGCTTGCTGTACCTAAGTACTCCCACCACCCCACCTTCTGGGAAAAGCGTAGAAGATAACCTTTATCTGCATCTCATACAGAGAAATCCCCATTTTCTAGCAAGTATCTGTTACACATGTGATCTAGCCATTTGCTACAGAAAGATTTAAAAAATAAATCATTTGCCTACAAACTCTAATCATGTCCTAATTATTGATATAATATTACTTTTAATATATTAATCACAAAAATATTTAAATGTTTGTTTCATAGTTATAAAATTACTAACACTTTTCCCTCTCTTCCTGCTTCCTCTGCCTCCTGTTCAAATCAGCTCTAATCAAATTTAAAGTGGGAAATACTGCTCTGCTGCATATGGAAGAATATTTATATAATCTATTTGCATAATAATTTAGTTTTTCAGGCAGAAGCAGCTTTTCCTGACGTTCCACATCAAACCTTAATGCCTATTTACCACAAGATAAGAAAAATGTTGTTACACCATAACTAGCTCAAGCACCAACATATACTTATCCCAACAGATACAATCTGAGTATTTTGCTAACAAAACAGGTTATTACCCTGTTTATTAAAAATTTATGATGTGTCCACTCCTGTACCAAACAAACCATGCAAGAAAAGAATTGCTGCTGAAAGAAGGAAGATGAAAAAAAAACCAGTTCTTGATCTCTCACACATATTAACATTTGTTTGCTTTTCTATCCCTTTATCCTTTACTTATTGAAGTCTGAAAGGAAACCGCCTGCTGAATTTGTCACAGAACTAGCAGTTATGAAGTTATGAATTTGTTCTTACAGTGAAGTTTACCAGGTTGTTATCAAGTCCTGAACACATAAAAACTGAGATGGATGAAGTGATTATGCTAACAGATTGCATGAAGTTTGAGGATTTGCAATACTTTCGCAAGGACAGGAAACATACTTTTTTCCTCTAAATTATGTTCTTTTCATTTGGCAAGAACATATGCGCACTGCTTCCCCCCAAATTTTCCTTATCACTACTAAACTGAAATCAAACCAATTTTATGTATCAACGACATGCAACACTTCTTCCCAAACAACCTGAAATCAAGCAGTTAACACTGAAAATATCACAGAAACCGGGGGTACAGAGCAGATACATATTAATCCTTTTTAAAGGCAATCCTACAAAAAAAACAGCAAATGTTTTGATTTTATTTATCCTAAATAGCATCACTGTATGAGAGACAATGTATTATAAGTGGTCACTGCCCTGAGCTAGGAAGCTCAAGTTCAAGTCCTGCTGCAAAAACCCAAGTCGTGTGGGATCCTGGCTAAGTTGTTTACCTGTTTCCACTACCACATTTTGTTCATCTTTCCTACTTCGGTCTGAAAAATTTACTGCCTTAATTCTTTTCATAAAAGTCTTCTAATCTCAACTGAATCTCTAGACATAACTGAAGGGAGAGGAATTCTGGCATTAATACTAATTACACCTCCAGAATAAGCTGGAGCCATACAACAGCAGGAACTATGCACACACAGCCATAAAGTGTTTGTTTTGATGCTTCAAATTTGGAGACCACAATCGTAATATTTTCCAAGTAGAACACAAACACTGCTAAAGCTAAAAAATTTAGGACAAAACAGAAAATACATAAACAAACAAGAGGAAAAAGACTACATGAATCACAGTGAGGCCATGAGCTGAGCTAAGCCCTAGAACTATACTTCAACTGAAGTTTTCCTTTATTCTCCTTTTAGCTGATACCTGTATCCCAGTCACTTGATTTTTAAAAAAATTGCTAAGCTTTTACTAGTTGCTATTTTCTATTCACTGCAACTTGCCATTATGAATTATCATCTCTCCTTCACTTTTGTTTTAAGCTAGACATTAAATAAAGCTCAACCCTAAGTACCTGAGTGCAGCTGTACACAACTTTCAGACAAGTAGTCCTTTTAACTATGTGGGTGCACAAACTTCCTAGATCTCCTGGATCTTTGCCATCTGAAGTTTTGTGTTTAGTTTGATCCTCCCAAATACACAGATGTGTAAAAACATTTAGTTTCTCAGACATTCAAAGACCAATTAATTAAAGAGATAGGGCTATTTAAGTAAAGCTTAATTTTCTGCTTTTGTGGATAGCAAGCATTAGCACCTTTAAACCAGGAAAGTAACAGAAGACTTCAGCCACGTGGCAGATGCACACCCCTCTCTCCCCTTTTCAGAAAATGGTTTTACTGTTCAAAAAACCAAAATAATGCAGTGACTTACTTGGGTTGGAACGAGTACTGGAGGATATGCCAGCTTGTGATGTCTATACATCCAAAATGAAAAGAGCACAATCACTGCAATTCCCATTATAGGCACCAATGAATAAAGCAAGGTATTGAACAGAGGTGGCTTAGGTGTAACAGGATTGGAAGTTGCTGAAGAAAAAAAAACAACACAAAAGGACACAGCTTTTAAGGAACAAAAATCATCCACTGTTTGAGATGTCTAGCATCCTGATCTTATAAAAATTTTTGCAATCAGCACAACAGGATAACAATACTTGATTAAATACTCTAATAGAAACAGATTCATATTTATTGAAAAGTAGCATCTTGGAAAGAAATAATTTAGGTCCCCAGTACACATCAGCCCATCTAACTCTTCTTGTGCTTTTAAGCTCTGCATATCTACAGTGTGTAAGAGATGTCTGTATTTTTAAAAGACTGCAAGAATGCCATCGCCTAATGAATAAAAAAAAAACAATACAGAGGTTTAATCTTTGTAATGTATACAATAATATGGCATTAATAAGAAGAGGCCAGAAGTAATCTGCCAACATCCCTACATGCTACTGACTTGCTGACAGTAAAAGTTCTCTAGCTGAATACACTTCCATGCAGCCCTGACAAAGGCTCCAGAGAAACCCTGCCTCAGAGGCAGCTGGCACAGGGGCAGCCACAGGCAGACCCCTGGGGCAAAAGAGCTTTCATGACAGTGAAGAAGAATGTCAGTTATTGCCTTTGCAGTATTACTGACAAAAATGACAAGAATATCTCTTGGGTCAACAAAGGCCATTTTAATCTCACAGACATTTAATTTCAGAAACAACTTCCTCTATTTGGTACACAAGACATCTGCTGTTTTCAGTTCACTTATTAACATTATTCAGTTTTCCAGTAAAGATTAGATTATTGAGTGAAAGAAGATATGCAAGAATAATCAAATTATTTTTTTTTAAACAATTATTTTTTAAGTCTGGCTATCTGATTTTCTTCGTAACCTGGGAGGAAATCCTTTCCCCCTTTCTAAAGGTTATTGTGTCAATTCACAGAGGAACTCAAAGGTCCAATTAGTTCAAAGAAATAGAGCACTGTTTCAAGAAGAAGAGCATTCATAGGCTGGTACATGCATTTAAGGAAGATACAGCTTTTTAGCCCAATGATTTATGGGCACTTACAGAAGCTTAACTATACAATTAAAGTAAGATGTGACAGTAACTTCTGTATCATAAAACAGCCAGTAATTTCATATTATTCTTCCTTCTCACCCTCAGAAAAGAGCTAAAGTATCTTTTATCAATATAAATTACTTCTAGTACAGAGACCATTAAAAATAGAAGACACAAACTGGCAATTTTCTAGGTTCTTTATGTGAATGCACACGGTACTATCATGCAGGAATCAGAAACCTTCTGGCAGGAAAAGAAACATCACAACGGAAAATTCTTATCTTCTCAACATACATGCTATTAAATATTTCTGAACTCAGAAAAGCCGTTCCTTCAAAAATGCATCAAACCAACTTACGTTGTGTGACCTCCATTTCTGGAAAATAGAAAAAGCGTTCATTACACATGTTGCCTTCACAACAACAGAAAAACACTTCAGGGCTGTCTTTCTTCTCTATGCAATCATTCCTATAAAAGATAATAATAAAAATCTTACTAATTTTAATTTGGGAGGGAGGGTAGTGTTTAAGAGAAAACATACACTCGTATTTAAAATTTAAAGAGAACTTCATTAAATAATCCTGGACAACATACTACCCAATTAAGAGTAAAACCTGAAGAAACAGATTAAAATTTTGTTATTTTGTATTGCAGTGAAATATCATTGAAACTGAAATAGCACATTTTTGTAATTCTTAAGATAAAAGTAAAGAAAACCACCAACAGGATACTGAAGAACAGTCTGCAGTCTAGATTTAACTAGGACAAATGATCAAACGGCTAATGCTTAAACATAATCTCACAGTACCGGGTTGTAAGGGCTGGAGATGAGTGAGGAGGAGAATTTTTTAATTTTAGGGGAAAAAAAAAAAAAGACAACAAAATTTCTACAATTTCCCCTGCCTACATTATGCACAGGGATAGGGCTTATTCCATCCCATCAGTTAAATGCAGGAAAGGAGTTCTATTAACAAATAAGCTGAAACTATTCAAGTCAGGAAAGAAAAACAGGCATCATGCAGGAGACAACTTGACAGCAGAAAGAAAAGAATCTGAAAATCCTGCAGAAATAATTGAGGATTGTAAATGCAGCTGAAGACTGTCAAAAAAGTTTTCGGTTCAGCTTCAAAAATTAGGGTTATTTTATAGAACCAGCTATTACAATTACACTCTACTGTAACTTCTATGAAACATTTATTCTTTGATGTTCTTAATCTGCAGTTGTTTGGAGTTCATCACACTGTAACTCACTGTTCACTAAACCACTTTTCACTCCCAGAGATAAGATCTTGTTTATTAATGGGTATTTTAGATGAACACTGCAGTATGCATTCTTACAAGATACAGCTAATGATGTCTTAAAGCCAAACAAATTTTTACTCAATTTTTAACTATTTCCTTCCCATCCTTCCTGCATTTTATTTCTTTTTCCATTTTTTTTTTAGTTTGCTCAAGGAAGAATTTAATATAATGTGAAACTAACTGGATAACAATAGTACAGAACCGAATTCTTTTTCCAAATAAAAAAATTCTATTTCCATCCTGAAAGTTTTACATTTAGCAGAAATTAACTTAGTTCAGAAACTGTAATATCCCCACTTCTTCTGCAAAGCCACAACTAAGAATGGAATTTTTTAGTTTTTTTTTAAAAAAAAGGACCCCCAGAAAAAAAAAAGGAACACAAAACCCATGCAAACCAAGAACAAACCAATACTTTCCCATTCTCGGTGTCTTACAGTTACTAGGTATTAGTAGCAATGAATAAGGTTTCTTTAAAATTGTCCTTCGCCTTCCAGCATAGCTGAATTTCAATTATGCTGTGCAAGCAAGCTTGCAGATGCTTTACTACTTCTCTGAGAAATGTATAAATCAGTACCACTGTTCAATTTAGCTTTAAACTGTCATTAAAGGACAAAACATCCTAGTGCGTGGTGAAATTTTATTTGGTTGAAATTACTATAATGATTTCTTCTACTCATTCAACATTAAAGAAACACAAGAAGAGAATTTTCTAAAATATTGCTAAAAAACAAATTCTAGGTACATTTTAATGAAGATGCTTTATGCATTTATTTTCTTCTCTCCCTTTCCAAGCAACTAATTTTTGGTCAAATAAAACTTACTACAGTACTTCAGAGAACTATAATACCACTTCTTAAGAGAGTCACGACTTTTATTCAGCCCCTACCTAACAAACCTCAAGTCCTGCTGTTACTGCTCACGGGTACTTGCTACACCATCTGCTATTAAAAAAAAAAAAAAAAAAAAGACAAAAAAAAAAGACCGGAATTCTAGAATATTCAGTGTCTCCCAGTTGCCACTGAGGTGAGCTTTTTAATAAAATCAGCAAAATACTTTATGTAAAGAGCAGACACAAAGCACTGACTTTCCTACGCCAAAGATGTTGGAAAAGTGAACTACAGAATTCTGCATTCTGGTTCAGGAACTACATTTGCACTGTTGGCAATAACAGGCAATAACAAGTCATTAGAAAATCTATTATTAATGGCCAAAAAAGAATAAATTAAATACCTGGATTTTAATATTTATTAAGTAAATAAGAAAAGGTAAAGCATGCCATTATGCAAACAAGACAAAGCACTTCAATAAGGTTGGGCCCCTAAACACAGGTATGCAAGGAGAGGAAAAAAAAAAATGCGCATGCATGTATCTAAAATGGAAACTATTCAAAATCTACTGTATTATCATATGTCTCAAGTACTGATGGCAGAGAGAAGGATTTAAAAATTACGGACAGGTATAATAGTTTAAAATTAAAAATAAATTTAAAATTTATAGGAAAACTTACTTACCTATCATAACAATTGATGTCATCTAGCCAGCAACCCTGCTTCACAATTTCAATTGATCCAGAAATATTCTTCCATGTAGCAAAACAGTGTCGTCTTTTATCTTTATCACCATAACAAGGTTCAATACCACTGCGATTTGTTTTATCTTTTTCCCAATTAGCATTGTAGTAGATACACTCTTGTGTTTCTGATCTGCCAAGTATGGCACCTTTTAGGAATGAAAAGTAAATCACAATTAAACGGCATTCTGAAGGATAAGCCATATGAACAGTCAAAACCAGGATGTACTAAAATATACAATATGCTTTCTCCCCTCTTTTTTTTTTTAATAAAGAAAGAAAATGTTTAGCTTTGACAAGCATTCCAAGTAAGTGTTGAAACATAAAACAAAGATCTTCTGTTAAGTCAAACAGTGACTTGGATAACTTAACAAAATTTGAAGAAATAAAGAACAAGTTATGGCAAGATTTTTCCCTGAATAGCAACAGCAGAGAAAATTTAAAATACTCAATTTAGTTATATTAGCTGAACAAGAAATTTTAGCAAGTAGACTTTACCAAAAGGCATTTTTATGTCTTATTACAAGCGCCAAAAAAGCAGGTTGTACATCTTAGAAACCTAAACCTAACCGATGAATTCAGTTTTAAACCATCAACATCTTTTCCCCTAGCTTTCATCTGTGATGTAGTTTCTTAACACAAAGCACTGAAGAATAAGACACACTATGCTAAAACAGTATTTTTTATGCCATTCTGATTTGCCAAGTGAGCAACTGGATTGAGACTGATAGGTGTGAGGCAACAGCCCCACACTGCCAAGGACAGTGCTGGGTTTTTGTTCCCACCCAGTGAATCAGCTACAACATAAAGACATTAGATCTTTGTCATAACTCAATAACCAAACAAGCGCTGCTGCTCTCAGAAAGCTCAGGCCATGTCTCCTCTTCCATAGTGTACACCAAACATACACGTAATGGGATCATGCATGATGGCCAATGTGCATGATTCAGGTAGCAGAAGCACAGTGGTGTTTGGAGACCAAAGCGCTGATGCAGTCTCTATTCAACATGCTGGTGAATTCCAACAATGGAATAGTAGACTAAGCTAACCTATCCTGCTATATCCTGATATAAAAATCACATGATTTTTATTTTTGTCATCCCAGAATTCTTAAAAGTTTCTGAAATTAATTTTGTCTTTTAAATTACAAACATAATTGAGTAATTGATGCCTATTGACAACCTACAGCAAAACCCAGCAAATAGTAACATACTGTGGCTCCCCCAAGTAGAGCCAAGTTCATAGTTCTAGCGTGGTATGAAGCACCAGTCTGTTTTTTGCAAAGGTAAACGGTTGTTAGGATGCAAAACTGTTAACAAAATACTGGGTGTAATAACTGGCTTTTATTTCTATTTACCTCTTGTCCAATACTGACAAGAGTATGTCATTAATCTTCATGCAAGCTTCATCATTTAACATGTAATAAATCTATGGAAAAACAGAGAGGGAGATCAAACTCCGAGGACTTATGTCAAAATTGGGGGTCAGGAGGACAACAATGCACATTTACTTTGTGTACCCTTCTAATATTTTCAAGACAGTTCCATTACACATCTATACTGAAGACTAAACAAGAGGTCTTCCACAGCAGTCAATTCATACATATTTATTCTTATCACTCATTACCTCCTTTATTCACATACTTCCACGGTAATTTTGATACATCAATATTGTCTTGTTGCCATACCTGTACTTCCCTTTCTACACAAGGTTGTAACAAGCAGAGTGACTGTAACCCTGGCTTCCTTTGGGGGATGAAATCATTGTCCACCTCCATGTGGTAGGAGGTGGGGGCTGGGGTGACTGGCACAGTGGTAGAGGCTTCCATCATGTAACACCTCCTCAAACACACACAGCTGACAATAAGGTAATTTTTTTCCTCAGTAAAGAGACCTGTACTCTACATGAACCAAAAAAGCTGCACCTCTCCGGGTGATGAGAATCGTTTCAAACTGACAAGTGCTGCACCCCTCCTGAAGTGCAGCACACGGCACAGGAGTCGAGTGCAGTGCTGACCATACTGGGCATCCCACATAACCACCTTCTGTAACTTTTGACTTTCACACATTCCCAAAATAGGCTGAGGATGCTGCTTACGCTTTTTGGGAAAGAGCCTGGATGTTCAATGGGAGAAATGCACTAGCCAGCTGGTAACACTGCAAGATGCAGCATGTTAACTATTATATTCTTTGTGCTGTGATGGCCTGACCTTTACAACTCCCAGCTATGGCAAGAAACAGATGAGACAACAGATTGAACAATTTGGTTCTGTCAGTGCAATAAAGCAGAAGTCCTGGATTTATCTCATACGTGCCATTCCTTTCCTCCTGCTGCCAAGCCTAGCTTTGAAGGACCATAGGCAAGCTGAATCTGATAAAATTCAGAAACCACAGTAAAATTAACTTTGCACAAATATATATATCTTCTCTGTAGTCAGGTCTTCTTAACCACAAATGCTCTGAATCAGTTCAGCCTATCAGCTCGCCAGCAATCACACTGTTGGTTTAGTGACTTTGGATCTGACTGGAGCATCTACCTTAAGACCTTCTCTAGGGGTTGAACAGACACTTGCAATAGGTCTTGCCAGACTAAAGAGATGTATGAACATACTGGGGCAATGCTGGATCAGTCTTCTCAAGCAATAAAACAGGAACCTAGCGGATGCAAGGGAAGAAGAGAAGGAACCACACAAAGAAGCAGCCCTTAACCCACTGCACAAAGGCAGCATCTTCTAACCAGCTCTACCACCCCCTCCACAGGAATCAAACTTTTAGAGAAGGGAAAGCTAGCATTTTCAGTGAAAGCAAATTTTACTGGGTGCCAGTTTAGGCATAGTATGTCTATAATGAAACTCCTGTACCAATCTGGAGTGCTGACAAATTGCTTTCATATGCAATTGTCACGTCCTTGGGATACCTATCACTGAATCTCAAAAGGCAAAATGCTATTGAAAGAAGCCATGAGCAAAGCACCAGCAGTATCCTATGGATGGAACTTAAAGTCTGAAAGATTCAAGAGGAAAACACGTTAAGAAAGCAAAGAATATTCCAGCACAGAGTTGAGTTTCAGCATGTTAAGACAGATCACATTTAGTATGTGCTGTTATCATATTGCAGTCAGCATGCTGCTGTATCACTATACATTTGTGTTCATCTGCAACAGCTGAAGTAAGAAAACCAACATCTGCTAGTGAACTTCTGCACTGCTGTTAATACAGGATATGCTGTAATTGTCAGCAGTTACAGAAAGCAACTTACAAGTGTACATGTGCAGTCTGGAAAACCTCACCTTAGTAGGTATTTGAAGAACTGGCTACCATTTTTTTCAAGCAGAAAGATTGTATGAATTCCTGGAAATAAAATCTAGCCTTTATTATTATTAAAAATAAATGTGTCAAACAATGAAATCGCTGCATAGCTAATAAGAAGGGCAATACCAACATAGCTCTAATTTAGAAAGGGACTACTGGAAAAAAGAAACACAAATTTTCTATTACAGACACCACCACATTACACTCAGATGCGAAAAAAAAGAGAACTATAAATTCCTGGGAGTTTATTATCTGGCTTGATTTAGTAGACCTGAAACTGAGGAACACAACCCCGCTGGTTTCTACTGCAGGAATGTTTTTCTGACATTTTAAATAAAATGTCTGAAACATGATCATCTCCCTCATTTGTTGAAAGACCTTAAAACCGACACATCCTCCCCCAATCCCATGTCCTATTCCCATCCCCAAATGCTGCTTTTGCAGCATCCTTGGTTGGGGACACCACATAAAGGAAGACACAAAGGCTTTCAGTCAAAGGGAAGAGGAATCTGTCATTCTTTGCTGGGTTATGAAATCTAGGAAAATTTTTAAGCTGAAGTCATGAAAACTTGTGAAAATGCTGCAGAGGTTAGTCTGATGGCACAGAGACCTAAAACCGGAGAAAAACAAAACAAAACAAAACAAACAAACAAAAAAAAAAAAAAAAAATCAAAAAAACCCTCAGGCCTCCTGAAAGCCAGTCTATATATAGGTAGACTGCTCTGTAGGGCACTCCCAACATGCACCCAACACATTCTTAACCGGAAGGGAACCAAAAATAAAATATCAATCTTATTTCTGCATGTCTTCCAGCATTAGACAGAACTACAGACTTTATTTCCATGTGATATGTTTCTGAGATGCAAACAGCAACACTGAAGTCTGGAAATAGTAATCACATCTGTACTTCTTGGCTGCACAACCTACCCAAACAAGTTCACTATGCTACACTTGAACCTCATTGTATTATAAACACTGACAACAGTATTGGTAAGAATTTATATGCAGGGATACCCATGTGATAGAAAAGGACATTTTATTTTTTTTTTTTTCTGTTTCCTAGAAAACAGTATATAAAGACTGAAAGGGTTAAGTTCAGTGTGGCAGCTACATCTGTAAGAGTAGAAAGCTTACTTAAATTCTGTTACCTCTGGGATTAACATGAACTCATTCAGAGCACCAAGATTCACAAACACAAGGGATGGAGTAGTTTATTAGAATAAACTTGCTGAGCAGGACAGCCCAAAGCACCACAGGCACTAGACATAGTGACAGAATGGCCGGTTCACTAAAGATCTCAATTGTAACACACTGCTTTAGAGGAACAAAAAAAAAAAAAAAGGCAACCCAAAACAACAAGAAAAAAACAAAACCAAACCAACCAACCATAAAAAAAAAAACAACAAACACCAAAAACCAGAAAATCTGGCAAAAACAAAAGCAGCATCTTGCCCATAATCATATATTTGTTTCTGCAGTGGTCTCATACATACTTTTTAGACTCAAATATATCTAAAACCAGACTACAAATATGTACTCTAAAGGCCTAGGTTTGAAGTTCCAACAAGCAGGAAGCAGGTTGTTATAATTTATATACTTTTTCTAACACCCAGGGGAATGTTAGTCAAAGGAAAAATAAAGAGGCTATTTTCAACCTAATACAGAAAACTGAGTTACAACAGAACACCTATCCTGTCCTCTTTATACACACTAGTATGTCCCAGAACGTATTCTTTTGATCTTTAGACAAGTATTAATCCCATTATCACTGTCCCCTATGATGGCAGGCCGAACAAGGACTGCATAAGACAAGCAACAGTGCACTCATTAAATCCAAAC